TGGACCTAATGTTCAGGGGTCCCTTTACCTTTATTCCATTATTATTATTATTATTATTATTATTATTATTATTTACTGTAGTAAATACTGAGTTAGTGGCAGGATCTAATTATTATTACAGCCTTTAGAAGACATCTGAAGAATTCCTATATAGGGAAGTTTTTTAAATGTTTAGTGTTTTATTATGCTTTTCTATATGTTTTCTATATGTTGGTAGCTGCCCAGCGCAGCTGGGGTGACCCAGTCAGATGGGTGGGGTATAAATAATAAAATTGTTGTTGTTGTTGTTGTTGCTGCTGCTGCTGTTGTTGCTGCTGCTGCTGCTGTTGCTGTTGCTGTTGCTGTTGTTGTTGTGGAATAGGACGTCCCTATTTTCATCAGAGAAATGTTGGAGGGTATGTTATAGTACTTGGTCCTATTCTGATTTGAGCAGAGGGGGAGGGATTCCTAGCATTCGCGCCATGAACAAAATCCATGTTCCCATTAAAGTTGCTTGTTTTTCCTTGCCCGCAAGTGTGCAACTTCAGCCCAGCAATGGTTAAACTGCTTAGGCAGGAGTTTCTGCTCGTTAAGGTCAAAATAATAAGATTCTTATGTAGTTGCTGTCATCTGAGACTTTCAAAGTACTTTATAAATATTCATGTATATATGTTTTTAAAAGGGGGGGAAATGTGGTTGTGCGCAAACAACCATCACTCACAATAACTGCAGGGTTTGGAGTTATTAATCCTTTTCCTCTCCCCTCCCTCCTGCACACCATCCTACGGTATTGATGTGGAAGCAAAAACGTCTTCTAAGATACATGCAGACTCCCCCTGCCCCCCCCCCCACAAAAAGAATCATCTCAGATCTATGCCCCATAGATATTTGGGGGTTGGAGTCTTTCATTTACAGGCACGCTGCTGGTTGCATGTGCTGTACAGACACAAATTTATTTGATTTTTGGGCTTGCTAAATTCAATTGTAAATATAGCTGAGGTTTTCCCACACCCTAGCCTTTGTTTCTTTTTTTCCGCTGATTAGGCATTCATCTAAGAGATTTATATATAGCTGTGGTTTTCATGAGTTCTGGCCGCAATGATGTAATCTGAGTTTAGCTGTGCAGTCACCAAAGATGTCCCTCAACTTATGCTAGCTCCAGATTTATGTCAGAAGATCCTGTGGTCCTGATCTGAAGCTATAACACATATCCAGAACAGAGGAAGAGAAAGGGTCTGGAAATAGTTATAAGATTAGGGTAAGGAGAACTTTGGCTAAACGGAGTTTCTGAAAAGATGCTTTTGATAACCAAGATTTAAATCAGGGATGGGGAACTTATTGCCCCTCCATATGTGGCTGGGCTCCCAACTCCCATCATCTCTTGCTATTCACTATGCTGGTTGAAGCTGATGGAAGTTCCACAACATTTGGAGGGCCTCCCACAATGCTCAGACGACATTACGCCAGAAATGATAAAAGCACAGGCAGATTGGTGGGCACCTTTCTTAGCCACCCTCTTCACCTATATAGATGACACTGGCCGCATCCCAAGGGAATGGGGAACAGCCATAATAGTTCCAATCTATAAAAAGGGCAACAGAGGGGACCCAGCGAATTATAGGCCATTAGCCTATTCAGTGTGATCAGTAAACTCTACACAAAGCACCTCCTTAATAAGTTTACAGAATGGCTAGAGAACAAAGATATCCTGGCAATAGAACAAGCGGGCTTCAGACCCAGAAGGTCCACGACAGATCACTGCCTAACGCTACAACATCTCATCGACAAATTTACCATATTTTTCACTCTATAAGATGCACCAGACTACAAGACACACCTAGTTTTTGGAGGAGGAAAACAAGAAAAAAAATATTCTGAATCTCAGAAGCAAGAACAGCAAGAGGGATCGCTGCGCAGTGAAAGCAGCAATCCCTCTTGCTGTTCTGGCTTCTGGGATAGCTGTGCAGCCTGCATTCGCTCCATAAGACGCACACACATTTCCCCTTACTTTTTAGGAGGGAAAAAGTGAGTCTTATAGAGCAAAAAATACGGTATATGGCGAAGAGTCTGTAATAAATGCCATGATAACATGAATCTAAAACTAGCCCATAGGCTGAACTACTGTTCATCCAGAGCAGCCTTCTCAACCTTGGGTCTCCAGATGTTTTGAGACTACAATTCCCATCATCCCTGACCACTGGTCCTGTGAGCTAGGGATCATGGGAGTTGTAGGCCAAAAACATCTGGGGACCCAAGGTTGAGAACCACTGATCCAGAGGTTCACCGTTGCCTTATCCCAGGGGTGGAAATTCCAGTTTTCCAACTCAGGCAGCAAAACATTTTGATCTCTCTTTGAAGGCAAAAAAACAAAGATAAGATAACCTTGGACAGTTTGTAGAAGCAGGGTTGCTTTCCGAACGTCTCCCAGTGTTCCTGTGAGCCAAAAGGAAAATAATCACATTAAAGCTAGGCTTGGATTCTGGCTACTGATGAGAAGAGGGTTGCTCCGTAAGCCAAGCAATTGTTTTTCACATAACTGCAGATGTTCACTGAAAGCCCACAACCAAACCGAGAGGTTTGCTTGTCTTCAGAACCCGCCATAAGCACTAGGGTGTGTGTGATATCTCACTTTGCTTCAGCTTCAGAAGATAGAGTTTGCCCTTACACACATACACATAGCTAATCCCCTCTCGTTTAGAAAATTCCAGGCTTCAAACTATTTCAGATTAGGCTTGTTTCAAATTGCCGAGGCCTCATCTAACCAATGAGGGAATTAAGGCAGCCTTAAGAAGCTTTACCAAGACAGCATAGTTTATATTTGAAAGTTACAACACCTTTGCCAAATGTGCAGTCTGATCTAAATTCCTGGGGTGCGTTCCAGCTTTGTTAAAAGAGGTGGGATTTTATTCCACAGAAGTCCATGAAAAATGGGCCACATTTTACCTCAGAAAGAGCATTTTTTACAGATAAGGGGGGTGTATATTACTTACGCTACTTTTTGAAAAGACTGTTGCATATCCTGCAAGTATCCCAGAAAAAAAAGGGACATCCCGTTTTCTCGTGCAAGATCAGGGTGGCCATTTTGGGTGTTGTGATCTCGTGCAATTTTGCACTGAGACTTGTTCCCAAAAGGCTATTTCTTTCTGGGCTGCTTACTTTCTAAAATGGCTCACATGCTAAAATGGCTTCTAAGAGGTTGTGTGTGCAGTGGTACCTTGGTAGTCATACGGCTTAGCTCCCGAACGCCGCAAACCCAGAAATAAGTGTTCCAGTTTTTGAACATGCTTTGGAAGCCGAACGTCCAACATGGCTTCCGTGGCTTTTGATTGAGTGTAGAAAGCTCCTGCAGCCAATCGGAAGCTGCAACTTTGTTTTCGAACGGTTTCGGGAGTCGAACAGACTCCCGGAACAAATTAAGCTCGAGAATCAAGGTACCGCTGTATAAGAAACCACAAGACAAGAATGTGTGTCAAGGTCCTTCTCCTGCCTCTGTCTGACAGTTGATAGTGCAACAGCTCTCTTGCTTAGCCCCTACTAACTCAGGACCCGCTGCTCAGATCCTGTTGGACATTTCTCCATTTCCTGCTGCTTGTGTCCTCCTGCACTTCTCAGAGTTGTCAATTGGACAACAACACACCTTCTTGATAGTTACAAACCACTCCTTAGATCAGTCTCCTCAAACCTGGTACCCTCCAGATGTTTTGGGACCACAACTCACTGACCAGTGGCCATGCTGACTGATGGGAGTTATCATCTATAACATCTGGAAAGCACAGGTTAGGGAAGGCTGTCCTGGATGCTTCCCCTAAAACATTCTGCAGAACATGCTGGTCCCTTGTCTGATATGTTCTTTTTCTGTCATATGGACTAATTCCTCCAGCTATTGCTGTATTCCAGGGAAACTGATTTGCACAAGCATAAATTAATTTCCTTGCAAGCAGTAGAGCTCTTAGAATCCAATTTGTGCTGACCTCTGTGAAGGCATAAATGAGTGGTAAACGTATCAGTAGACCCTGCATTTACAAAAGGGAATTTTTATTTATATCTAGTGACATCTGATATACTGGAAGACCTCATGCCAGGAAAAAGCAACGGCTTGGGAAGGATCTTGATAGACAACCAATGCCTCCAATTAGTAATTATCACGCATATATTTTGTACGATCACATGGGGTTATTAGCATGTTATCTCCATGGCTCTGTAATCTGGAGGAATGTCATCATGTCACATTATCCTACCCTAATGATCACCAATTGGTTCATTTTTCAGAATTAAGCTTGCAATTAGCCGATGGGTCGTTTAAGACTTTTGAGTGCCTTTAATTGACTGCCAAAGGCATAGATATTTAAATTATGATTGATGATGAGTCTTTCAGGCATCGACAGCCAATATCTGATGCACTGCCATTTTCCAGTTACCCTCTCAACAACAACTCACTTTGTCACAGGGCTCTGAGATCAGCCCAATTCTGAGAGATGGTGACAAGGTACCAGGACTCTCCTAAGGGGACATTGTCCCTGAACCAAGACTGGGGCTCATGATTGCACATCGCTCCCAGTGGCAGGGAAGAATCTAAATGTGTTCACCTAAACTTGAAGCACATGTATTCTTTGAAAGATGAAAGGTGCCCATGTACAGTGCTACCTTGGTTCTCAAACTTAATCCGTTCCAGAAGTCAGTTCCAAAACCAAAGCGTTCTTAAACCAAGGCGCGCTTTCCCATAGAAAGTAATGCAAAATGGATTAATCCGTTCCAGGCTTTTAAAAACAACCCCTAAAACAGCAATTTAACATGAATTTTACTATCTAACGAGACCATTGATCCATAAAACGAAAGCAATAATCAATGTAAAGGTAAAGGGACTCCTGACCATTAGATCCAGTCGTGGCCGACTCTGGGGTTGCGGTGCTCATCTCGCTTTATTGGCTAAGAGAGACAGTGTACAGCTTCCGGGTCATGTGGCCAGCATGACTAAGCCGCTTCTGGCAAAACAGAGCAGCACACAGAAACACTGTTTACCTTCCCGCCGGAGTGGTACCTATTTATCTACTTGCACTGGCGTGCTTTCGAGTTGGTAGGTTGGCAGGAGCTGGGACAGAGCAACGGGAGCTCACCCCGTCGTGGAGATTCAAACTGCTGACCTTCTGATCGGCAAGTCCTAGGCTCTGTGGTTTAACCCACAGCGCCACCCGCCTCACCAAAAATCAATGTACTGCACTATAAAATAAATAAGACAGTATTGTAGATGTTAAAAATTAAAATTAATTATATTTTTTTACCTGCACTGATGATAGTCATTGTTTGGATGGGAGGCTTTTATCAATTTCTGCAGTCACACAGTCAATCAATCAGTAGCTGAACTGGGTTCCACACAGTCACAAAAACAAATTAACCAAAAAAGCTTCAAAAACAAAAGTGCCAAACTTAATCTGTTCTGGAAGTCCGTTGACTTCCAAAATGTTCAAAAACCAAGGCACAGCTTCTGATTGGTACAGGCGCCCTGGAAACAATAGCTGACAGCCACATCGGACATTTGGCTTCTGAAAAACGTTTGAAAACTGGAATACTTACTTCCGGGTTTTCAGCATTTGGGAACCAAGGTGTTTGAGAACCAAGGTACCATTGTACTTCCTTCTCACCAAATCCCAGTTCTGTCTTGATGTGCAGTTGCCAGAACAATGGTTGGACTGCACTCATATGTATACTTAAGTAAAGGGACCCCTGACCATTAGGTCCAGTCGTGGCCGACTCTGGGGTTGCGGTGCTCATCTCACTTTATTGGCCGAGGGAGCCGGTGAACAGCTTCCGAGTCATGTGGCCAGCATGAATAAGCCGCTTCTGGCGATCCAGAGCAGCGCACGGAAACGCCGTTTACCTTCCCGCCGGAGCGGTACCTATTTATCTACTTGCACTTTGATGTGCTTTCGAACTGCTAGGTTGGCAGGAGCAGGGACCGAGCAACGGGAGCTCACCCCGTCGCGGGGATTCGAACTGCTGACCTTTTGATCAGCAAGCCCTAGGCTCTGTGGTTTAACCCACAGCACCACCCGCGTGCCATAAACACCATATACCTACCTTGGAGTAATTATTATTGAACTCAGTGGAAATTACTTTTGAGTAGACATGAATCATTCTCTCGGGTTATTACACTGTGCCTTCTTTTAAAAACCCACACAGAGTTCTCCCTATGATCCCTGGAGGAGGAAAATCAATAGCCGAATATCACTGCCGCGGTCTTAGGTGGGTGATGGATTGGGAAGTCCTGCCCGTAATGAAGCAGTAAAGTCGAGCAGAATGGAAAATATTTCATTAGACGACACATAAATTCAGGCTTTATGATGATGTGTGTAAGAGATTTGGGAGTACCGTGGCTCCTTTCTGTCATTGCAAACTTGGGAAGCTCTCAAACTGGGCCTCCGAAACTTCGAGATGAGACCGAGTTTATAAAGTAGCAAATCTGGCAGGTAATGCTGCTCAAAATGAGGAGATTAGAATAAGGCACTTGCTTGCACGAGAGTTGAGATCGATAAAAAATATGTGGAGCTGAATCCCAAATGGGTTTCTGCAAAGAGAAACTCAAAATAGATCCATGATTATTACAGAGCTGGCTAAACCAGTGAGATAGAATCAAAACAGGGAGGTAGTCACAGCCTCCAGTCTGCTTCAAGAGCTGACCGCCTGCAATGTGGCCAATCAAGTACAGTGGTACCTCGGGTTACATACGCTTCAGGTTACATACGCTTCAGGTTATGACTCCGCTAACCAAGAAATAGTACCTCAGGTTAAGAACTTTGCTTCAGGGTAAGAACAGAAATTGTGTGGCGGCAGCAGCAGGAGGCCCCTTTAGCTAAAGTGGTGCTTCAGGTTAAGAACAGTTTCAGAACCTCCAGAACAAATTACGTTCTTAACCCGAGGTACCACTATAACCAAAAAGTAAATGGCAAATTATGACTCCTCTTTGAAATTGATAAAATAACATTTTACCAGAACCTGACTGAAGACCCCAGTAATACTTTCATAGCACATGGAATGGTGTGCGCGAATATACATCCACACTGTGCAAAATGTACATCCACATTGTGCATTATATGCTAATGGGGGTGAGGGTAGCCAATGGGTCTCAAACTTTCTGTGAGTCAGGGCAGACTATGTGGATGAGACCAATAGTGGGTCCAACAGTCAAGAAGGTGGTTTCTGAATGTGCTCTAGACAGTAGTGTGGGGCATTTGGGGTTTGTCCACTTGGGAAGGTAGCCCATCTAGGAGAAGGAAAACTCCGTTCCTAAGCTTCAGCTGCCTTACATGATAACTTCAGGAGAAGAAAAAGGCTAAGGCGTAAGCCCTACACCAGTCCAGAGTAGAGTTGCTGGGGTTGGATAGAACCTTGTAAAAAAAAATGTAAAGGACCCCTGAACAGTTAAGTCCAGTCAATGGTGACTAAGGGGTTGCGGCGCTCATCTTGCTTTCAGGCCAAGGGAGCCAGCATTTGTCCACAGACAGATTTCCGGGTCATGTGGCCAGCATGACTAAACCACTTCTGGCTCAATGGGACACCGTGACGGAAACCAGAGCGCACAGAAACGCCGTTTACCTTCCTGCCACAGCAGTACCTACCTGTATTTATCTACTTGCACTGGCGTGCTTTTGAACTGCTAGGTTGGCAGGAGCTGGGACAAAGAAACAGGACAAATTCGAAGCCCAAGAGGCAAGCCCAAGAGGCTCAGTGTGGAGAGCCAGTGTGGTGCAGTGGTTAAGAGCGGTAGACATGTAATCTGGTGAACCGGGTTCGCGTCTCCGTTCCTCCACATGCAGCTGCTGGGTGACCTTGGACTAGTCACACTTCTCTGAAGTCTCTCAGCCTCACTCATCTCACAGAGCGTTTGTTGTGGGGGAGGAAGGGAAAGGAGATTGTTAGCCGCTTTGAGACTCCTTAGGGTAGTGATAAAGTGGGATATCAAATCCAAACTCTTCTTCTTCTTCTTCTCCAGTGGTTTAGACCACAGCGCCACCTGCATCCCTGTATGTCTCCTTCCAGCAACTTCTGCAACCAAGCTGGGGCCAAACGTTTTGCTCTGCTGTCTTTTGGAACACATCAGCGAGACCGAGAGCAGAGTCTTGTCATCTGGGCACTCCAGGACCTCCATGCACACACCCCAGTCTTGTGCCCGGCCAGAGAGATCACTTCGGTGCTGCTAACACAGCGGTTTGACTTCACCCTGGGAGGTGCACCCCATTGTCTCTCCGATTTGGCAGAGGCCAAATATCAAAATGTTGTGGGTGATGGTGCAGTTTGGCGAAAAGAAATGTAGGTGCTTAACCCACATGCCCCTTCTCTCCCCTCTTCCAGCTGCTTTTCTCCCAAGACAAAGCCAGGGACTTTACTTGGGAGGCAGGAAAGACACATTTCCCCCCACTCTGTGTTCCTTCCTTCCAAAACCACAACACACATACATTTTACATTTACATTTTTACCCTGGATTTCCGGTTCCATCTCTCCACTTAACATCTCATTTGACCCTCAATAAAGCTTCTCTCATCAATACAGTCTCCATTCCCCCTAATTCATGGAGATAAGGTAATATGACTTGTGTAATAAACTTGCCCATTAAACATTTCTGCCAGGAAGCATTCTGAGGAGATTCCAAATTAGATTGGGGGGGGGTGGCAGCCACTGCTGGTGATAACTTGGCATATACTGTCCTCTGGTGGCTACTTGGTTATAGCTTTTCTCATATGAATTGAGAGGGACACTCTCTCATACTCAACGGACAGAGGATCACTATCGGAGTAATCCATTATATGTTGTTGAAGGCTCTTCTCTAACAGATTTATGCTGTATTTATTTAATGCACAACAGCCTCCTGCTGTTGTTGAACTGAATGTTTAATAGAATGTTTAGTCTTGCAATGAATCTGGTTGCATTTCTAAAAGAGCTCCAACACAAACATCATTATTATTATTATTATTATTATTGACTTGTAAACCGCCCTATAGCCACAGGTCTCAGGGCAGTTACAACATAAAATCACAGTATGAAAATACAAAATACGTAACAAAAAGAAAGAGAAAAACAACCCAATAAATCCCCTCCCCAACACTTTTTATAAGGACATTGGATGTCAATCAGTCAAAGGCTTGGTTAAAGAGGAATGGTTTTGCCTGGCACCTAAAGGTGTATAATGAAGGCACCAGGCGTACCTCCCTGGGGAAAGCATTTCACAAACAAGGAGCCACTGCAGAAAAGGCCCATTCTCCGCTCGTGGAGGAGGCACACAAAGAAGGGCCTCAGAAGATGATCTCAGCGTCCAGGTAGGTTCATATGGAAAGAGGCAGTCCTTGAGGCATTCTGAAACCTGTTTGCCATTATCTTGGGTGAAAACCTAGATGAAGGAACTGTTCCACAATCATCTAGATCAGGCAGAAACTACCTGGCTCCTGCTGGGCTCTAGCCTCCTGGACGTCCAGACATATTCTAGGCTCTACCTTCAAGTACTGGTTTGTTTGGGTTTTTTATTCCAAGGGAAATGGACGGAGTGCACATGCGCATTCAACTGCCGAACAGTGTTTATCTGCATCATCTAGTAGACTGCAGCTGCAGAGATAAGAAGAGTCATCTCTTTGTATGGAGAGGACACTTCCTGGTTTGCCATTTTCAACGGAGCCCAGCAAGAGAAGTGCACAGGTGTATTGAGGCAGCACCGCATGTTGAAATTTTGCACCCATGAGAACTTTGCACCCGGAGCAACTGCCCCTGGGCTACGCCACTGTCTCCTTCCCATCACAGTGAGGAGGAAGAGAAGAGAGTGCTGTGTTGCTGTTTTGCCAATATCTATGTACTGGAATGGAGGGGCTTATCCACACTTCCCTTTGCCCTACCACTGTCCCCCAGGGAAACCCTATCTCTAGCGCTGAACTGGAACAAACTGCAATTGGGTTTTCTGCAGGTTGCTGTTTGTTCTGATTTAGTAGTGGAAAGCAATGGGGTAAAGGCAAAACCGCTCAGTCCCATGCCCACAAAGCATGAAACAGAAGCGTGGACAAGGAGAGAGAGAGAGAGAGAGAGAGAGAGAGAGAGAGAGAGAGATCTGCTTATTTGTTTAGTAAGCATGTGTGTTGTGTATGTGTGTTACTGTGTTGTCAGGGGCAAGACTGAGGAGGAATGATGGGAGCACACACACCCCTTTTCCTGAACCTTCCCCAAGGGCAGGAGGACAGTATTGACTTAGAACAGTGGTTTGCAGAGGGGCATAGTCCAGAGAGGAAAAGCTGGGAAATACTGGGTGAGGAACAGCTAGAAGAAGAAACACCAGGAGAGAGACAGCTGGCAGATTCAGTGTGCTTGTACAGCGTTCCTGACCCCCCTTCACCTAAGACTAGACGGGCTTTGAGAGTGACAGAACAGAAAGCACAGCGGCAACAAACTCAGATTACCCAACGCAGAAGTGACATAGATTAATGGGGACGGAGGGGGTGAGCCTTTAGTGGGAGCAACACTATTTCTAGAGAGATATGCATTCCTTTGTCTCTCGCTGTGATTATTAGAGAACTTATCTGGTAAGAACGCTCCTTTCGTTTGATCTGCTTATTTACTGCCACCAGGGGAGGGATCCGATTCGCCGAAGCCTGACATGTGTGCATAGTGCGAGAGCACAAATGTGAAAAAGAGAAGGGGAATGTGTACACACACCATACATTTATGGCATATATATATATTAATAGATTTCTCCCTGAGAAATAAAGTCTGCATTCAAATCTGAAGTCCATTCATGTCTCCATCATATATACAAATTCACGAGGTCCACAAAACATAAGACAAAAAGTAGTCAAACCAACCAAAACTGCTTTTATGAAGTCCTTCATAATCATTCTTCGCTGTATGCATAATAAAACCGTACTGCTCTACCATAAAGGAGTCCTTTTGTTTTATACCTTGTGCCATTCTAAGTTTATTGTGCATTTCTCAGCAAGTGCCAATTTCCAGACCTTATTACTCCAATTCATCAGGGAGGCTCCTTCCATATATTTCCAATACCTAGTTACCATAAGTCTTGCCACAAATAATACAGTACGTATCTGCATTTCCCCTACCCAAACACACACACACACATAAATAGATTGAACAAAGTCCATCCTGGGCATTTAACTGCCCTTCTTCCAGTAAATTCATTAAGCACTTCATCACAAAATTTGGCCAGCTTCATACAAGTCCACCACATGAGTCTGATGTCACACAGCTTCTCCCACACTTTCTGTGCCCAATTCAAAGGGCTAGTTTTGACCTATAAAGTCCTATGTGGCTCAGAACCACAATACCTCAAGGACCACCTCTCTCCATATGAACCTACCCAGACCCTGCAATCATCATCTGAGGCCCTTCTTCATGTACCTCCTCCGCAAGACTTCCTGAGGGTGGCAACATGAGAGCAGGCCTTTTCTGTGGTGGCTCCTCATTTGTGGAATGCTCTCCTCACAGAGACTTGCCTGGTACCCTCATTACATACATGTTTGTGGAATGTTAAAGGCCATTAAAATGTGTTTGTGGAATGCTAAAGGCCATAGAATGTTAACTCACCCAAGGTCTGCCAATGGAGAAACCTCTTCTTCAGGCACCTAAGGTTTGGAAAATGTTTATTGAATAAATGGGAAATAACTGTGTACAGCTGAAAACGCTGGCAGCATTAAGATAAATTCAACAGTGTGAATAAGTTAGAATGGATGGTACTTTAGTTGGAACCCACAAAGGTCTTTGAAGGCAAAAGGCCCCACTCTGAATGGGCCCAGAAACTAAGCTGAACTCTCTGTGCCTATAACACTGAGTAAACTGGCAAAAATGTATAAAACTAAATCAAATATGTGCTGGAAATGTAAAGAGAAAGAAGGTTGTTTTTTATCATATGTGGTGATCTTGTAGTAAGGTTAAGGCTTACTGGGAAATGATATACAATGAAATGAAAATGATGTTTAAGGTTTGGGGGGGGAACCAGAAGCCTTTCTCTTGGGAATTATAGGGATAGAACAACCTAAATTGTATAGAAATTTATTCATGTATGCAACTACAGCAGCAAGAATGTTACTTGCCCCAAAGTGGAAAGAAGTCCCGACGAAAAAAGAATGGATACAAAAACTTATGGAATATGCAGAAATGGCAAAACTTACCGGAAGAATAAGAAATCAAGATAACATACTTTTTACAAAAGAATGGAAATGGTTTATTTAATATTTACAGATAAATTGTAAACAGATAAAAAAAAAATGTCAGGATTATTTTAATAACCTGAAGCTACAGAGGAGTATCTATTTAAAGAAGATAAATAAATAAGTTAAGTTAACTTGGATATGCAGAAGATATTAAAAATAAATTTAAGGAACCGCACAAAAAGGGGGAAGGAAGTCAGGTTTTGAAATGTCAAAATGATTGTAAAATCAGTGAAATGTATATATCTGAAAAGTATAAATAATTTTCAAAAAATATATAAAAAGTGAACTCTCTGTGCCTGAGTGCTGTGCTCAAGCACTTTCCTGTAAGTTTATTTTATGCATGCATTGATTTCACTGGTTGTCTCCATACTTAAAGGTAAAGGGACCCCTGACCATTAGGTCCAGTCGTGGCTGACTCTGGGGTTGTGGAGCTCATCTCGCTTTACTGGCCGAGGAAGCTGGAGTACAGCTTCTGGGTCATGTGGCCAGCATGACTAAGCCGCTTCTGGCGAACCAGAGCAGTGCACAGAAACGCTGTTTACCTTCCCGCCTATTTATCTACTTGCACTTTGACGAGCTTTTGAACTGCTAGGTTGGCAGGAGCTGGGACTAAGCAACGGGAGCTCACCCCGTCGCGGGGATTCGAACCGCCGACCTTCTGATCAGCAAGACCTAGGCTCTGTGGTTTAACCCACAGCGCCACCCACATCCCTGTCTCCATACTTAGCCAGGACTAATTTCAGTGGCTCTATCCTGAGCATGCCACAACTGGATGCAACTCTATATTTTGCAACCTTATTTCTTAGGCTTAAATTCATATAATGCCTTTCAGCCTACAGGCCCCTTGCCTAAGGAAGCCAACAACAAATAAATACAAAGAGATGAAATATAAGCACCAGACAATAAAACAATTTTATCAGACCATTACAAAACCAATCCATACAAACAGGCATTCATGAAGCTAGGAAGGCAGGATTAATATTGCCCAGTAGATGGTGCTCATTCCACAGGCAAGTGCCTGTAACTTTCCTCATTCTAGTCTGCACAGTGACCTCTTGTGTGTCCTTATTTGCCCTGGGGTCGAGTGAGGGCAAAGCGCTTTTCAGAATGCAACAATACCCCCACATCTTCTCCCAAGGCAATCAACGCAGTGTGTGTTTCATAAACTGAGCTCCACACTTAACAAAAAACTGCATCAATTCAAATCACAAACTACGGAGTGGAGGAATGCAACAACCAATTAGGTTTTCAGTAATGTGGAAGTGAAGACCATTTCAGCTTTCACAAGGTGCAAAATTTTCTATGCAAGGCACCAGTCAAAAGCAATGTTATTTTTCTATCACGGTTTTCTATACCTCTCGAGCCTGTCGACTCTCTCCTGAACTGCTTTGATGGCACAGGCAGAAGTAGTGTCTGAAACAGAAAGATAAGGAAAATTAATAACCTCCTTGGGGGGGCTTGCAACCTCTTTCCTGGGAAGCAGCTCCCTCCAGCCCCCTTAGACTGAGTAACTCCCTGGGGAAATAGCTGTTCATTTCTGTTAGAAGTTTTTCAGTTCTGCTCAGTTACTTGATATTGTGATGTGCATCCCATTTGCCTGAGCAGTGAGTTTAGTGCCCACGTTTGGTTCTCTTTGGAAGCTTAAGGCATTTTATAATATGTCATGTTTATTTATAAATATACAGATGCAATATAGGTAGAGGCACAACCTACAAAAACTCCAACAAAGCAAATCTACTGATCTCACAGCAGAGCTCCATAGCAAGATGCTTCTACGAAGCCGGTCCAATCATGAGGCAAGGTGAAGCAACTGCCTCAGGTGACAGAATCCACAAGGGTTATGTCTCTATCTAGTTCTATTCTAGCCCTCAATTCATAACTGCCATGTCTGTAGGGGGTTTTTTCCACACAGAGACCTAGATTACATCATCTTCGGCTGGGTATAATCTAGTTCATTTTTCAGAACATCCCAAAGTGATCCTTTATGAAGAAAGCCTGGCCAGGGCGAAGGCGGTCGTCCTCTTATATACCTGCTGGGGTTGACAAGGCATATGACCCTCACCTGAATCTCATAACTCTCCTGACAGATGATTTGGTCTGCAGCCACAGTGTGGAAATAAAGGATGAGATAGCCCACCAGATACCAGGCACTCTACTATTCAAATTAGGCCCCAGTGTTTTTGTTACAATCCCCTTCTCAATTAAGTAATCAATTTTAATCTAGAATTTAAATTCTCAAAACTTTCTTATTTGTTAATTTGAGCAAGTAAACTACAGCTCTCACTTCATTACAAACAGTATTTCTACCTGCAACACACATGAGGAAACCTGCTCCTCTTCCTTTCACAGATATGTTGTTGACATTTGCAACTGTAGCTGCCTCTGATTAGTTATCATTTAACTCTTTGGGGAAATAATTAGCATCACACGTCATGTTCATGGAAGTTGCTGAACCAATTAACCAACTAGAAGGATAACTGTTAATAGCACCAGTTTTCCTATAACTTGATGTTGCTGGATAGTTTTGATGAACTGCAAAAGCATTTTTAGTTTGCTTTCTGTTGCCACCCTGGAACTTTTCCTTAGTGGTGCCACTTTGTTTTGTACGATTCCTTGCAAATGAAGGAAAACATCTTTTCTCCTTGTATATGTTGATAATATGTTTTTGGTTACTGAGAACAAACAGAAACAAAATTAGGTGCAGGCCTGGCCAGGACATAGGCGTGACGCACCTGTGACAAAGGTGACCTGTGTGCTTGCTTGCTTGCTTAACAACTGTTGGGAACTTCAAGGTCCCTGCTCTCCCTTCTTATGGTCTTTATATTGGATCTGAAGACTCCAACAGAGAGCATTCCATGTCAAGAAGGAGGGCAAATGAGCACCCTATCAAATGACAAGGCAGGAGCTACATGGAGCAGGGCCTTTTCACTGGTGGTGCCCATTGTATGGCTCGCTCTTTCCAGAACTGCTCTCTTCTGGCCTGTATTTTGGAGCTTTATAATCTAGGAAGACTTTGGAATAACAGGTTGACAAGTCTTATCAGTTGCTGACGTATGAGCAGATTTTAATTGCTGTTATTCTGGGTTCCTGGTGCACCAGGGTTTACACCAGCGTAATAGAGTTGGCCAGGACGAAAGAAGGGATACAGTTTATGAGCTTTCTCCATTATCTACACAGCAGGGGGTGTTCAGTCAATCTGCCATTCAGTCACATCTGCCATTCTTCCAGAGTGGGTAGATCTTGTGTCTTCCAATACTTTGCAATAAGTATTCTTGCTGCTGTTGTGGCATACATAAAGAAAGTTCTGTCCTTCTTTGGCACCAATTGGCCGACCATGCCCAGGAGAAAGGCCTCTGGTTTCTTCAGAAAGGTATATTTAAATACCTTTTTCATTTCGTTATAGATCATCTCCCAGAAAGCCTTAATCCTTGGGCATGTCCACCAAAGGTGAAAGAATGTACCTTCCGTCTCTTTACATTTCCAGCATTTATTATCGGGCAAGTGATAAATTTTCACAAGCTTGACTGGTGTCATGTACCACCTGTATATCATTTTCATTATATTCTCTCTTAAGGCATTACATGCCGTGAACTTCATACCTGTGGTCCATAACTGTTCCCAGTCAGCCATCATAATGTTATGTCCAACATCTTGTGCCCATTTAATCATAACAGATTTTACCGTTTCATCCTGAGTATTCCATTTCAACAGCAAATTATACATTCTTGACAAATTCTTAGTTTTGGAATCTAACAGTTCTGTTTCCAATTTTGATTTTTCCACCTGGAAGCCAATTTTTTTATCCAAATTATATGCCTCCATTATCTGATAATAATGAAGCCAATCTCGCACTCTATTTTTTAATTTTTCAAAACTCTGCAATTTTAATCTATCTCCCTCTTGTTCCAAAATTTCCCAATATTTCAGCCATTTAGCCTCCATATTGAGCTTTTTCTGAGCCTTCGCTTCCATTGGTGACAGCCACCTTGGGGTTTTATTCTCAAGCAAATCCTTATATCTTATCCAAACATTAAACAGTGCTTTTCTGACAATATGGTTTTTAAAAGCTTTATGTGCTTTGACCTTATCATACCATAGATATGCATGCCACCCAAAGGAGAACGGGCCTTCTCTGTAGTGGCTTGTGGAATGCTGTCCCCAGGGAGGTTCACCTGGCTACGTCATTTTATATTTTTAGGTGCCAGGCAAAAACGTTCCTCTTCAACCAGGCCTTTGGTTTCAGGGTGGTTCACAAAAAAAATTACAGAATAAAAACAAGTAAATGATTAAAAACAAACTAGCGAAACAATAAACTTCCCCTTTCCACAGCCACATTTAAAAGGCTGGGGGGGGGGGAGGTATTGTTTCACTGGCTTGTTTTTAGTTATTTACTTGTTCTTAATCCTGTGCAGTGGTACCTCAGTTTTCTTTTTTTGTTAGATCATTTATTAATATTCCATTAAAAGACATCCAATTAACATATCAAATCATAATCCAATAAAAATAATAAAATAAAAATTCGAATTCTGACTTGTACAATTCGAATTCTGAATTGTAATTATTAATTTTATGGCTTCCCATAGTCTGAACCTTGAAGCATGTCCAAATCTCAGTCCTGCCTCTCAGTAGTACCTCAGTTTTTGAACACCTCTGTAGTCAAACGTTTCAGAACTCGAACACTGAAAACCCAGAAGTACGTAAGTGTTTCAGTTTTCGAACACGCCTCAGAAGTGGAACAGGAAACGTGGCTTCCATTTTGAGTTTTCCGTATTGAGGCTTCCACTTTCAGTTTTTGAAAGTGTTTTGGAACTCAATCAGATTTCCAGAACGGATTACATTCAGAAACTGAGGTACCACTGTATTTTATTTTGTGAACCACCTTGATACCTTATCAAGAAGGATGGTATATAAATCTAATAAAGAAAGAAATAATTCAAGCACTGCTGCAGGTGCTGGATCCTGACTCATGCCTCTTCCAAAGTTCTTGGGGGACACTGCCACCCCACAAAAGCCTGTTTCTGGTTAAGATGCCCCCAGAGCCAATGTTGTTGCAGTCAGGAGTCTGGCAACTCCACTTTCCACTGTTCAGTTTCTAGACAGACTACTTACGGAGCCGTTTTCACACTCATTAAAGCTGGAGTGTTGCTTTGACTGGAGTGGAGGCCAGCCTGTTTAGCCAAGTGCTGAGACAGAGCACAATATCCCCATCCCATTAAAAGCGCCAGGCTGAAAAATGCTAATCCCAGTCCCGCAGTAATGCTGTGGGAATCAGCTTGCTATTATGCTCTGTACAATGCAGTTCTGAAAGCCGCCTGGATAAACAATCCCTTGCTACTGAGCAAGGATTAAGCAAAGACACTCTGCAAATGAATGCACTGGGGAGTGTAGCTGGATTGGGCAGCCTCACCTTGCGAAATGATGGTCAGGTTTCACACATGAGCAAAAAAATAGCACATATTGTAAACCTAGCTAGAACAGGACTCCAGTCCAAAATGGCCTGAATAAAGCTGGATCACGTTTATCTTCATCTAATAAAGCGAATGACCTAATTTGAAACTGTAACTTCAGGTGCTTTTGCATTTTCGTGTCCGACTGTTCGTGACCCCATGGGCCAGAGCACGCCAGGCCCTCCTGTCTTCCACTGCCTCCCGCAGTTTGGTCAAACTCATGCTGGTAGCTTCGAGAACACTGTCCAACCATCTTGTCCTCTGCCGTCCCCTTCTCATGGTGCCCTCCATCTTTCCCAGCATCAGGGTCTTTTCCAGGGAGTCTTCTCATGAGGTGGCCAAAGTGTTGGAGCCTCAGCTTCAGGATCTGTCCTTCCAGTGAGCACTCAGGGCTGATTTCCTTAAGAATGGATAGGTTTGATCTCCCTGCATTCCGTGGGACTCTCAAGAGTCTCCTCCAGCGCCATAATTCACGTTTGCCCTGCACAGTATAGTTCATAGCTTCTCTGAGTTATTCAAGCCCCTTCTCCACGGCAAGGCAGTGATCCATGAAGGGGATAAGTAACTATACAACCTTTATAAGACATCTGACAGCAGCCCTGCATAGGGAAGTGTTTTTTTAAAAAATTAAAAAAAGTGTGATGTTTTATTGCACATTATATATATTTGGGAAGCTGCCCAGAGTGGTTGGGACAGCCCAGTCAGATGGGTGGGGAATTATTATTACTATTATTCTCCCTATTTTCATTGGCGAAATGTTGGAGGGTCTGCTGCTCCTTGCAGCGGCGGAGCACCCGCTGCGCCTTGCCCAGCCCTCCTGCCGACGGGCGGGCGCTCATGCGCCGGGTGGGAGAGGCGCAGAGGGAACTCTTCAGCCTCCGCCCGCCCAGCCCGCGTCTCCCAGGCAGGGCGCAGAGGGTGCTGTTCTTCACCTTTCGCACAAACCCAGCCGCTTGACGGGCATCTCTGCGCGCCCGGGGCAACGACTCCCCGGCACCCCGCACGCTCCGCCAGTTGCTCCTTGCCCAGGGTGCAAGGAGGGCGCCATACCTCTTCGCTAATGGCACAAGGAAGCCTCCGTAGGTCTTTGCATGTGGTCAATCCCTGGTAATGTTTTTAAAACACCCGCAAAGCGAAGCAGATAGGAGCTGAAGCAGCGCACTGTTTCGTGGCTAGAACAAAACACGCACAACCCCTTAGCGCAGCTGGCGAGCGGGGGTCTAGCTACTGGCGCGGAGGTGATTTGGTCAGGAGAAAGGGCAGGCGGAGAAAGGATAATTAAGCACAAGGACGCATCATCCGCTTCTGCTCTCGACACTCCCCGTCCATTCTCGTACCGCTTAGCTTTTTTTCTCTCTCCAGAACCAGCGCTTGCGCCTGATCCTGAGCCTCGAGGTGCTGGCAATCGGGCTCCGCTGAGTTCAAAACTGTAGCTAAGGAATCGCACGCAGGAAGGTCGCAGTCAGCTCGCGCGCTGAGGCTCCTTAGTGCGGAGGCGTGGTCGTCTAGGGGGCGTCTCTCTCGCCATCCCCACCCACCTCCCCTGACTCTGCCGTCGACGCTGCGCCCCTTTAGACGGCGCCTTCCTGAGCTGCCGTCGCCCGCCTGGTCTGCCTGCCCAGCTCGCCGTGATGCCCGCCGTCTGGAGCTCGACGCTACCGCCGCGGCTGCTGCTGCCGCTCTTGGCGCTTTGGCTGTGCCTGGCGTCGAGGAGCGCGGCGGAGACGGCGGCGTGCGCTCCCTGCCGGCCTGAGCTGTGCGAGACGGCGCGGTGCGCGGCGCCCGAGCTGACGTCGCGGGACGAGTGCGGCTGCTGCGAGCGGTGCCTGAGCGCCGAGGGCGAGCGGTGCGGAGGGGCGCGGGGCGCTCGCTGCGGCCCGGGGCTGGTGTGCGTCAGCCAGCGCCAAGCGGAGCCTCCTGCCGCCGAGGAAGAGGAGCAGGAGCAGGAAGAAGGCACCGGGCGCTGCGTCTGCAAGGAAGACGGCGCAGTCTGCGGCTCCGACGGCCGCTCTTACAGCAGCGTGTGCGCCCTGCACCTGCACAGCTGGCGCGCCCTCCACAGCGGCCGGGAGCGCGTCCGGAAGGCGCACGACGGCGAGTGCAAGCTCGGTAAGCCTCTGTGGGGTGTGGGGGCACTGGGGGGCAGTGGTTGGGGTGTCGCTCACCCTCCGAAGGTCGCAATCTATAGACTGGCCCTGGCCAAATTTCTACGCCTTAGTGTTAGTCAGCCAATCGGGAAATGTTTGTATTTCTGAATGTTTGCATGGTTGTTCCTTGGTCCAGATAAATGTCCTTCTTGTCTGTTTGAACAGTTAAAATCGAGACACCTACACCTCTTAGAACCACAGGGGGCAATTTGGAAGCTTGTTTCGACCAAGTTAAGGGACTTAGGCTTCCTCAACGTGAATAGGAGTTCACTTTTTGAATAATAAGAATTATATGTCGCGGGGGGGGGGTCAGGATTTGAGAGATGCTTAGGAGAGATGCAAAAAGGTTGGAAACCACTGTCTTAGAATTTTAAGCATCTTTATTCAGAAATAAGTACCACCAAGTTAAATGGAGATTCCTTCCTCGGAAGTCCGTTTGCAGCCTTAATGGGAGCTGTCTACTTTCCCATCACCAGAGACACTGAAAGGTGGGTGTTGATGCTGAGACATTCAGTTGCAAAGTGATGCACTACTTTGGGCAGAAGCGCAGGCAAAACAGCCCGCTCTCTGGGGTGCCCCCATTCCAACAGCGCCAGTACCAAATAGAGAACACCTCCACCTGCACTATCTATCTATCTATCTATCCATCCATCTATCTATCTATCTATCTATCTATCTATAATTTTCTGTTTTACAATTTAGAATATTCATTTGAACAACCTTAAAGTATCAATTACTTCCCTTCTTTTCTTTCCATGGTTCATTTTGCATAGCATAAATCCCTGCCTATTTTATATAAACTAAACCATTCAGTATTCCATTATTACTTCCATCAAAACTTATTTACACTGTTGAATTTATCTTAATGCTGCCCATGTTTTCAAGTGTACACAATTTCCCCCCATATGTTCAATAAATGTTTTCCAATCTTCTTTAAACGTATGTTCTTCTTGCTCTCTTATTCTATAAGTTAGATCCACAAGCTGTGCATATTCCACCAGTTTAAGTTGCCATTCTTCTTTAGTTGGGATCTCGCTCATTTTCCATGTGGGGGCTAACAAAACATAGGCTGCAGTAGTGGCATACATAAATAACGGCCTGCACTTTCAGAGGAAGAGCACAGAGACAGCTCATTAACTGTTTGAAAACCACTGGAATCCAGGTGAGGATGGTCTCTTTATCTCCATTGGCTGCTGAAGACTTACAGATCCAGCTGGAAAGGAGGGGAAGTAAAGGAGTGACAGGTGTTCAAGTGAAAATAGTGTTCAGGTCAGGTCTTGTTGTCCAGCTGACTCGTGCAATCCAGTCCATGTTTACTGGGAAGTCCATCCCACTGCATTCGGTCAAACTTACTTCAGACTAGTGTGAATAAGCCCAAGGGAGCGGGTGGCGCTGTGGTCTAAACCACTGAGCCTCTTGGGCTTGCCGATTGGGAGGTCGGTGATTCGAATCCCCGTGACGGGGTGAGCTCCCATTGTTCTGTCCCAGCTCCTGCAAATCCAGCAGTTCAAAAGCATACTAGTGTGAGTAGATAAATAGGTACCGTTGCAACAGGAAGGTAAATTGCATTTCTGTGTGCTCTGGCTTCCCTCACGGTGTTCTGTTGTGCCAGAAGCGGTTTAGTCATGCTGGCCACATGACCCAGAATGCTGTCTGTGGACAAATGCCAGCTCCCTCGGCCTGAAAGTGAGATGAGCACCGCAACCCCATAGTCGCCTTTGACTGGACTTAACCATCCAGCGGTCCTATACTGTTACCCTTTATTACCATTAAGCTGCAGTCCCCTGTCTCTTTTTTGGAGAGGAAATTAATTAAATACCTACAATTCTATAATTCTACATGCAAGGGGTTGTGGGTACTTCAATGCATGGCACTTTTGATGGATTTAGCATAGCTTACAAAAAGGTGTAAAGGATGCGGGTGGCACTGTGGTCTAAACCACAGAGCCTAGGGTTCGCTGATCAGAAAGTCAGTGGTTCGAATCCCCGTGACGGGGTGGGCTCCCATTGTTTGGTCCCAGCTTCTGCCCACCTAGCAGTTCGAAAGCACGTCAAAGTACCAGTAGATAAATAGGTACCACTCCAGCGGGAAGGCAAACAGCATTTCCGTGCACTGTTCTGGTTCGCCAGAAGCGGCTTAGTCATGCTGGCCACATGACCCGGAAGCTGTACGCCGGCTCCCTCAGCCAGTAAAGCAAGATGAGTGCCACAACCCCAGAGTGAGGGGTCCCTTTGCTTTTATCTTTACCTTGCAGAAAGGTACAGAATAGTGGGTACTTTTTTTCTTAAGAATTGAGAGCTAGGAAGAAGCCCATAGAAAAGTTGGGGACTGACAGAGATTTGATTGCGAAATATGGAGCTGTGCACGCACCTCATCACGATATCAATTATATGGGTGGGGCTTATTCCCCCCCCCCCCCATATTTTATTCAAGTTGGCACCCCTGCTGGGAATCTAAACCTCGAAGATCCCCCACTTCCCTTTTGCCTGTGGTTCTAATTTTAAGACGTGGCAATGTTTCAGAATTTCTCTACCCCCTGCAAATCCAAAGCACATGTTGTGCTGCAGCCCGTATGGGTCCCCTGCTGATCTTAGACAGCTGACAGGCACTAGCGAAAGGTCCAGCATGTCCAGGTTTCTGTGGTAAGCACAGGAATGTCCTGGGGAGAAGATTCTGCCTTCTGATGGAGTCAGACACTCCCCACCCATTGTGAGCTGCGGCACCCAGCTGGGACTTCTTAGCCTAGCAGGCCAGATAGTTCTCTGTCTCCATTCCTGCAGGCCAACATTGGCAGGTGTGTGTGTGACAACCCACCTGCCAATCACCTGACATTGAGGTTTCCCAAGTACCTAACAGCCAGCTAGTTGTTAGGCAGGTGGGAACCACAGCACAAGGGGGCTTTGCCTGCAATATGTTCAGGCCTCGGTTGATTCTCACTTGTCAAACTCCTTTGTGCAGTGCTTCCCAAACACCCAACAACCAGCTGGCTGAGAAAGCAGCTTTCTGCAAGGATCATCTGCATAATGAGCATAATCGGCCATTCAGCCTATCCAGCCACCACCTGCTGCATACCTGGTGTTGTATATGATTTCAGGTGTGGGTCACTTGGACAAGGTCGGCGGTTCAAACCCCCATGATGGCGTGAGCTCCCATCGCTCTGTCCCAGCTCCTGCCAACCTATCAGTTCAAAGGCACACCAGTGCAAGTAGATAAATAGGTACCACTGTGGCAGGAAGGTAAACAGCATTTCCGTGTGCTCTGGTTTCCGTCACAGTGTCCCGTTGTGCCAGAAGCGGTTTAGTCATGCTGCTCACATGACCCGGAAATCTGTCTGTGGACAAATGCTGGCTCCCTTGGCCTGAAAGCAAGATGAGTGCCGCAACCCCATAGTCACCTTTGACTGGACTTAACAATCCAGGGGTCCTTTACCTTTTTTACCTGCTCAGGCCTCAGGCTGTGGCTTGACCCGCCAGCTTGTCGGAGTCTTGTGTGCAGTGCTTCCCAAACACCCAACAACCAGCTGGCTTAGAAAGCAGCTTTTCGCAGGGTTCATCTACATAATTGAGTTCCCTATGGCAAACTCAGCCATTCAGCCTCCACCTGCTGCACACCTGGTGTTGTATATGATTTCAGGTGTGGGTCACATGTGCATGGCTTGTGGAACTGGCCTCATGGGCCCAATCCCCACCAGATTTTCCCTCCCGGGCTGAGTTCTCATTTTGCTGGCCTTGAAACTGGCTCTGGTCAAATTGTACTTGCCGGGTTTTTTAAGCATTAGGAGAACATACCTATAATGGTATGGGGTTGCTCGTGCGTAAGTTGCCGCCTCTCCTGGCTATGTTGCCTTGCTAAACCTTTCTGTCTGGACAGCCCTTCAATTCGTGGCTGCCTCAGTTGCTAGCAGAATCCGTCAGTGGGTGTTTCTTAAACCTTTTCCAACATAAAAGTTGTTTGACACCCAGTCTCCTCCTACTTTCTCTGCGCGGAAGTCTTCTGCGCAGGGAGGGCATGGGTAGCGGAGGACCAGTGCTCTCCCCGCTGGTGTCCGGTGAAGAGTCTGGGAGCCCTCTCGCCGATTCCCCCATCTGCCCCTCCTTATTCCTGGTGTTGCACTGAATTGCTTCCCCATCTGCTGAGCTGCCTCTCTCCCTGCTGGGCCCTTCTCCAGCATCATTGGAGCATTGGAGAGCCTTCCCTCCACCTCTAGCTCCGATGTCAGTTCCCTGACAATACCCTTCAACATTTCTCAGCTGAAAATAGGGACATCCTATTCTATTATTTTATTTTATTTTATTTTATTTTATTTTATTTTATTTTATTTATTTATTTATTAATACCCTGTCTATCTGACTGGGTTGCCCCAGCCACTATGGGCGGCTTCTGACTACAAAGGAGGTTTAAAGACTGTCTCAAGGCAAATTTTAAAAAATGTAGTATAAACACCAACAATTGGGAAACACTTGCCTGCGAGCACTCCAATTGGAGAACAGCCTTTACCAAAGGTGTCATGGGCTTTGAAGACATTCGAACCCAGGACACAAGGAAGAAATGTGCTAAGAGGAAGGCACGCTTAGCAAATCCACACCGTGATCAGCTCCTGCCCAGAAACCTATGTCCCCACTGTGGAAGGACATGTGGGTCCAGAATTGGCCTCCACAGTCACTTACAGACTTATTGTTAAAACCATGTTTATGGAAGACAATCTTACTCGGCTACGAGTGATCGCCAAAGACAAAGAAAGAAGAGAGAAGATACAAAAATGCAACAGAACGTTGAACATTAAAAACTTCCCTTTACAGGGCTGCTTTCAGATGCCTTCTAAAGATTGTATAGTTACTTATCTCCTTGGCTTGTGGGTCGCATAACTGCATACCCTCCAACATTTCAATAATAATAATAATAATAATAATAATAATAATAATAATTTCTTTATACCCCGGGCATCTGGTTGGGTTTCCCCAGCCACTCTGGGCAGGTCCCAACAGAATATTAAAAACACGCTAAAACAGCAGACATTAAAAACTTCCCTAAACACGGCTGACTTCAGGTGACTTACCCAACATTTCTCCAATGAAAATGGAGGTGTCCTAAGGAAAAGTGGGACATTCTGGGATCAAATCAGAAACCAGGATGGCTTCTGTAAATCCGGGACTGTCCCTGGAAAAAGGGACACTGGGAGGGTCTGAGATAATGGCTGGCAAATTCTGCATCTTTAACCTCTCATTGACGGCGCCCTGTTTGCAAGCTTGAAAAGCCACCAAGTTTCCCCCCAATATATAAATGTAACCTGATATCTTTCTTTTCCGGCACCTGTCTGTCTCGAGAGACAATGGAGTGCACCTCCGGGGGTGAAGTCAAACCACTGCGTTAGCAGCACTGAAGTGATCTCTCGGATGCGCAAGGCTGGGCCATGTGTGTGGGGGTCCTGGGCTCACCCTCCTCTCTCAGCTTAACCCACCCCGCAGGGTTGTTGTCAGGATAAAACCAGGGGGAGCAGGTGAGAGATGCCTTGGAGTTATTTGGAGCAGGATAAAAATGTAACAAACAAAGAACTGTCTGAATGGAGCTTTTGGTGGTGCTTGCTATTATATCACCGACTGCCTCTGTAGCTGTCCATTCTGATGATAATGAAAGCTCCGCCAAAGAGGGGGCTTTTATGTGTCAGTAAGTACCTCATTATATCTTAACCCAAGGGCACTAATTTATTCATGTATAATCAGTGGGGTAATATTTAACAGTCCCCTTTGGGACTCAGGGTTGTGTGTAACAGCTGCTTCTCTGCCCATTTGTAATCAAGCCCATTCCTTCTAGTTTGTTATATGCTCTGTGTGTTTTTTTTGTTTTTTCCTAATGAGCATTGTGGGAATCTGGGGGATTCCATAATTTTTTATTGTTCTCGTTTTGATACCAGCACAACCCAACTTCAAAAGTACATTTCAAAGTCTGTGCCTTTGCCTGCTTCACAGGATGCCCTGATTTATTTAATGGAATGCCGTTCAGATTGAAGAAAGGTGTGTGTGTTTTTGTGCCTGTGTGTCTGTGTGTCTCCAGATCTTTTCATTCATGGCTTTGTCGCACTTTCTCGAAACAAAGTCCACCCCTATTCCCTTTCCCGTGCCTCAGGCAGAACTTGGGATCTCACCAGAGATGGGAATCTTTCAAAGGACCTGTGGTTCCTTTGAGCCGCCCCAGCCCGACGCTCGCTTTACAGTGCTCTGAACAGATCAAGTCACAAATGACAGATCTCCTTTTCTTCCCGCCAGTGCTTTTCGCACTCTTTAATCCTCTTGCTGACTCCGCCAGCAGAAGATTAGTTCAGAGCTTAGCTTGTTTCCCTGCCTGTGCGGTTACATTTTCATAAATTAGATTTTTTTCCCCTCCCCTACAATATATTTGCATGGGTGTAGCAAAATCGTGCAGCTTGGCTCTGAGGTCTGCAATCTCCTTTCCTTCCTTGTATCTTTTGTTACAGGGATGGTGGCAAGCCCACCCATGATCTCTTCCAGGTCTGTTAACAAAGGTGGCAGGATGCCTCCTTCATGGCATGACCCTGGTTCCTCCCCACCCCTCTTATCCGAATAATTCCCTTTTAAGAAGACTGACATTCTGGCGAGCTCATGACTGATTTCCCCTGCCCCTCCCACATGTGTGTTTGGACAAGGAAGTGTGTTGTATACCGTTGTGGAGGAAAATGTAGACTGGCAGGTGTCCACGTGTCATGGAATCATGGAATTGTAGTGTTGGAAGGGACTGTGAGGGTCCTCTAGTCGTCGTCCCCTGCAATGCGGGGATCTTTTGCCCAACGTGGGCTGGAACCCACAACTCTGAGATTAGGAGTCCTATGCAAAACTAATCCACAATGCGGCAGCTAGACTGGTGACTGGGAGTGGCCGCCGAAACCATATAACACCAGTCTTGAAAGACCTACACTGGCTCCCAGTACATTTCCAAGCACAATTCATAGTGTTGATGTTGACATTTAAAGCCCTAAATGGCCTCGGTCCAGTATACCTGAAGGAGCGTCTCCACCCCCATCGTTCTGCCCGGACACTGAGGTCCAGCTCCAAGGGTCTTCTGGCGGTTCCCTCCCTGCGAGAAGCCAAGTTACAGGGAACCAGGCAGAGGGCCTTCTCGGTAGTGGCACCCGCCCTGTGGAATGCCTTCCCACCAGATGTCAAAGAGAACAACAACTACCAGACTTTTAGAAGACATCTGAAGGCAGCCCTGTTTAGGGAAGCTTTTAATGTTTAATAGGTTTTGTATTTTAATATTCTGTTGGAAGCCGTACAGAGTGGCTAGGGAAACCCAGGCAGATGGCAGGATTTCTGTGTCGGATGATTTTTTTTGGGGGGGGGGAGGTCTTGGGCTACAGGGTGGGCAATATCAAAAATCTATATAAGGGCTTGCGCACCATTGTTCAGGGTTCTTCTTCCTCCTGCGTGTGGTAAGTGGGGACCCTGTTGCAACAGTTCCTTTAATAAAGATCAGGCTTACTAGTCGCTTTGCTTCTCAGTATACTCTGGTTGGCCTCTATTATTTTCTCCTGCCGATAGGGGAACCCACTTAAGAACTCTAGACAGGCTCCGGAATACCCCCATAAGGGAAAGGGAGCAGTTTTTCTTATAACACACTCATGGAAATTACCGTATTTTTCGCTCTATAAGACACACCAGACCACAAGACGCAACTAGTTTTTGGAGGAGGAAAACAAGAAAAAAAATATTCTGAATCTCAGAAGCCAGAACAGCGAGAGGGATTGCTGTTCTGGCTTCTGGGATAGCTGCGCAGCCTGCATTCGCTCCATAAGACGCACACACATTTCCCCTTACTTTTTAGGAGGGGAAAAGTGAGTCTTATAGAGCAAAAGATACAGTAACTGAAACCTGAGTTAGTCAGGGCCTTTCATTTAAACTTTGAGTAAAAGTTACTTCAGTACAACCATTGGCTATGAAACATTCTTGATGGGTTCTTGCAAGGAAGAAAGTAGCAGCTACCCTTTTCTGAATTCATTTGTTCTCAAGATGTGATTGCATCCCCATATTCCGCATTTTGCATACTGTACCCCCCCATCGTGAAATTAGCAACCCTCCTCTCTATTTCTGTTTCGCAGAATTTTATATACCGGTATTTATCTCTCACGACAAATGGGAGAAGCTTCTCTGTTGTTCCTGCTACATGCATTAATAGGGTGCAGATTTTCACAGGCCTCACGGCCACAGCACTCTCAGAATACAAAAAACTCTTGCAAGGAAAAATCTTCAGAAATGATCTGACTTAAAAGAGGAAAACTGCATGCAAATCAGCCGAGAAATGGCAACCCACCCTCCACCCTCAAAGGGCCTTTATGAACGGTGATGCTGTCTGACAACCATAACATTGCCAGCTACAAGCAGAAAATCCACTTCTAATCTTCAGGAAAATGAAAGGGCGAGACTTCGGGGACCTCACTTTCAAGCAAACTGGTATCCCATTGCACCAAAAGGCTTTGAGGTTTGCTTGGAACTTCTTAGGGGGGGAAAACCCCAGCCCTCCAAAACCATATGGGCCCAATCCAGTCCAAAGTCTAGCACTTTTATAGCATGTAATTCAAATAGGAGAATAAGGGTTAATGTGGAAGAATAGCAGGAAATGGCTTCCACTCTCTCTTCCTGCCAACCTACAAGAAGCATCCACAGGAGACTGCCAACATATGCGTGTTGTTGTTTTTTAGGGGGGTTAACTATTTATTTTTCCCCAGTAGTGATGTAAGAAAGTGAGAGCTGGACCATAAAGAAGGCTGATCGCTGAAAAATTGATGCTTTTAATTATGGTGCTGGAGGAGACTATTGAGAGTCCCATGGACTGCAAGAAGATCAAACCGATCCATTCTGAAGGAAATCAGCCCTGAGTGCTCACTGGAAGGGCAGATCCTGAAGCTGAGGCTCCAATACTGTGGCCACCTCATGAGAAGAGAAGACTCCCTGGAAAAGACCCTGATGTTGGGAAAGATGGAGGGCACAAGGAGAAGGGGACGACAGAGGATGAGATGGTGGGACAGTGTTACCAACATCAAAGCTACCAGCATGAGTTTGACCAAACCGTGGGAGGCAGTGGAAGACAGGAGTGCCTGGCGTGCTCTGGTCCATGGGGTCACGAAGAGTCGGACACGACTAAATGACTAAACAACAACAAACTATTTATTTCCCTGAGCCTTTATTCATTCAATATCTCTTCTCTCTTTTTTTGATAATAATTTTTATTAGTTTTCAATTACAATAATCCAATAATAGCCTCATTATAACAATGCCAAATTATAAAACAATTACTAATACCAATCCTTCGGGTGCCAAATGATATAATTTAGGTGCCCCCCCCCGCATGCTATAATTGATGGTTTGGTGGCTTTCTTTATTTCTGCGTTCCAAACTCTTATTAATTTCAATTGCACTCCAGTCAAAATAACAATCCCTTATACAACAACTGCAGTATTAACTACTTCCATTCAAATTGACACATGAAATGATTTATAAAGCTACAGGAGAAGCATTCAAACTACATCCTTGTTCTTCCCGTGTGTGGCAATTATTCTGTCCGTGATGTTTCTTCCAGTCTTTGTAAAATATTATGTCTATCTTTTCCCAGTTGTTGCTGTTCTCCATCATGCCTTGGGCAGAGCTAATATCCCATTGTTGTTTCAGAAGTTCTCCATTGCTCCATCCCGTTATTCACTCAATATCTCATTGATTGCTTTTCTTCTTTCCACAACCGAAAAAGTTAGTGGTGGAGTGGAACATGGATAAGCAGGGATGAAATACCGTATTTTTCGCTGTATAAGACGCACCAGACCACAAGACGCACCTAGTTTTTGGAGGAGGAAAACAAGAAAAAAAATATTCTGAATCTCAGAAGCCAGAACAGCAAGAGGGATCGCTGCCCAGTGAAAGCAGCAATCCCTCTTGCTGTTCTGGCTTCTGGGATAGCTGCGCACCCTGCATTCACTCCATAAGATGCACACACATTTCCCCTTGCTTTTTAGGAGGGAAAAAATGAGTCTTATAGAGCAAAAAATACGGTACTTCTTCTTTCACAGCAGGAACGGTGATGTCATCTCCTGGGGGTGCTCTCTGCCTGCTAAATAAATACGCTTCCCCCAAGAGTTTAGTTCAGTTGAGATTCCTGCATTGCAAGGGGTTAAACTAGATCCCGTCGAACTCTATGATTCCAAAAGGCAAATTCACCTGATAAACTAAGCCAATGTTAAGGTCCAAATTTGGCTCTCATTCTATGACAGGGTTGTAGAGGGCGGGGCGGGGGCTCTCTGGATGTGGCAGGACTACAAAGCCCATCACCTCTGGCCATTGGCCATGGTGGCTGAGGCTGATGGGAGTTGGAGTCTAATAAACTCTGGAGGCCCCACAAATTACCTTCCTCTGTTGCAAGCCATCCTCATAAGTGTCTCTTGACAGTCCAAGCATTTGTCAATGCTCAGGTCCTCTTAGATGTTGACATGAGCCAGAGTGGATTTTGTTATGTACTGAAGTTCTCACCCTGGGCCAGCAGGGGGATACTATAGATAGTTTTCACTCAGATACACATATGCAAATAAGAGATTGAAAGTGACATTCAGTGATTGGATAGTTACAGAAAGTGTTACAGTTGCGTTGTTGTGGAGCTCTATATAAGCAGGCTGGCTGAACCCTTCAGTTCAGTTCTGTTCTGGCCTGTGAATAAATAAGAGCTGTTTGAAGAATCGCTGTGCCGTCTGATATGTTCACCCACAACTTAATAGATTTGATTTAAATCAAATCGATTTAAATCAAGATTTAAATTGCTAGTCAGCAAGACTTGATTTAAATCATTATTGTTTTTGCAGAAAGACTCATTCTTGCTGCTGTTATCTTAATATTTACAACCAGATGAAGGTTTCATTTTTTGAATAATAAATTTTCAGAGTAGTTTTTACAGTTTTATCAAAAATTACTGACTTGCACAATTATCACACAAAGATCCCAAGACTCGTGGAGTATTCTGCTCACAACGTTGCACTTTCATTTTTACTGCTTCACACTTTGAAGATTTATTGCTCAGATAAGTCCTGGCGTCCAGCCCGTTTCGCCTGCACAGCTACCGGCCAGGCCTCCGCACTTCAAAAGGCCACATTCCGATGCTCTGAGCAAATGCAGAGTTAAGCAGCGGTAAGAGAAAGCTGCAAACTTCAGTGCTTTCTTCAGTGTGCTTAAATAAAGTCCAGACAGGATCTTAGCAGCTAAAAGCAGTTTTATTTAAGCAGAAACTATCCATTATCTATCACAGCGAACAGCATCATGAAAACACGTCCTCTCTCCTCAAAAGCGAAAGTAGAAAGAACAAAGAGGTTTAGACTCTCGGATATGACACAGAATCTCCCCCCTCCCAATAGTAGGCAGGGCGTACACTCTGAGCTGTTTAACCCTGTAAGCTCAGGTTCTCCTCACACACTTATCTACTTCTGCAGATCTACTCCACTCCAAACAATCTATTCACTGAACCTCTTGGAACTTAGCATTTAAGAGGTAAGGGGTTAATTCTGTGGATATAAATTTGCAAAGGCACAATGGGATTAAGGTTTTTTCCTCAACTTTGCATGTTTATTCTATAACATTTTTCTTGTGAAGAAAAGGCACGTTACCTCTGCAGACACAAATTCACACTTTTGAGAACTGCAAAAAGAAACATCTGTGATAATATCTTCTCATTAGAAAAACTGCCCCAAATAATCTTACAGAAACCTCTGGAAGAGCATGACATTGTGAATGGATTAATGGAGTTCATTTACCAAAAAAATTAAACATTGCATATAAAGCCTCATGCTACATATTCAAAAACAAATCCTTATTTCCTGATGAATAGCCGTTGGACTATAATGTAACTTAAATGGAAAACTATCTTTAGAAAGATTTTTCCTCCAAAAGCATTTTATTTTTAAAAATCCAATTTAAATTTTTAAAAATCCAGTTTAAATATTTAAAAATCCGGTTTAAATATTTTAAAAATCCGGTTTAAATATTAAAAAATCCGATTTAAATATTAAAAAAATCCAGTTTAAATAAAAAAAACTGTGTTTTTTTTTATCACTGATTTTTATCCACCCTGACATGAACTGAATGCTGCCACACATGCTGACAGGATACTACAAGGAAGTAGCAGAATCATGCCGAGCTCGTTTTGAGCTTCTAGCATTCCTATGAAATGTGCTGCTTTTCCAGATATGACACTGAAATCAAAGCATGCTTCTTCTACCCCTCTCTCTCCATTAGAAATCTGAAATGCAATCTTGCAAAGAGCAGCAACATGGTTCTATATTTATCTCTCATATTGGAGCTCCTGTTATGTTTATATCCGTTGGCAGTAATGCAAGAGACGGTGGCAAATATATTGAAATAGTAAAGTGGAAGGGAAATGCCAAGCGTCTAAGCACAGCTAAATCCAAAAGATGAAATAACCACCCACTTTGGTGTTGCCCATTCAAATAACTCTGCCTGTCTTGACTGAGAGCCAAAGACAGTTCGAGTTCAACCAAATATGTTGTTTGAAGCAGTATCAGGTCACCCCAGGAGGAAGTGTGCTAAAGATAACTTGTCCTTGTCATACGAGTATATGACTGACAATATCCACCAAGTGGATCCACCAAGCAGAAGTTATGGTTTACTACTGAAAACACTCTGCTTAAAAAACAGAGACATCATCTTGCCAACAAAGGTCCGTATAGTTAAAGCTATGGTTTTCCCAGTAGTGAAGTATAGAAGTTAGAGCTGGACCATAAAGAAGGCTGATCGCTGAAGAATTTATGCTTTTGAATTATGGTGCTGGAGGAGACTCTTGAGAGTCCCATGGACTGCAAGAAGATCAAACCGATCCATTCTGAAGGAAATCAGCCCTGAGTGCTCACTGGAAGGACAGATCCTGAAGCTGAGGCTCCAATACTTTGGCCACCTCATGAGAAGAGAAGACTCCCTGGAAAAGACCCTGATGTTGGGAAAGGGGACATCAGAGGATGAGATGGTTGGACAGTGTTGTGGAAGCTACCAGCATGAGTTTGACCAAACTGCGGGAGGCAGTGGAAGACAGGAGTGCCTGGTGTGCTCTGGTCCATGGGGTCACGAAGAGTCGGACACAACTAAACAACTAAACAACAACAACAACTTAAAACACTGAACTAAACAAAATAGGTAATATGTCTTCTTCCTCCCCTACAGACCGAGTGGAGCAGTTATATGTTAGGCAAAACTTGGAATATGATAACATCGCGCCATGTGCTCTCAAGAGAAGGAGATATTCTTAATTTGTTCATTCCTTTCGTTTCATTTATGAATTGACTTCGCATGATACACCTCAAAGTGATTTTGAGATGAAATGAAAGCATAATAAAAACATCAATATGGAAATGCTGTCTTTGACAGCGAGTCCCCATCTAGTTCCATGAGCCAATGTAAAGACACTCTCGCTCAATCTTTGGTTACGGCGCCTGCCCTGTCCTGAAAATCAATAATAATTAAAGAAGAAAAATCAGAAGGAACATTAGCTAAAACCCAACTACAGTGGTACCTTGGGTTAAGTACTTAATTCGTTCCGGAGGTCCGTTCTTAACCTGAAACTGTTCTTAACCTGAAGCACCGCTTTAGCTAATGGGGCCTCCTGCTGCCGCCGCACCGCCGGAGCACGATTCCTGTTCTTATCCTGAAGCAAAGTTCTTAACCTGAAGCACTCTTTCTGGGTTAGCGGAGTGTGTAACCTGAAGCGTATGTAACCTGAAGCGTCTGTAACCCGAGATACCACTGTATTACCTAGTTGGACCAACAATCTGACTCAGGAAAAAGCAGCCCCCTATCTGCCTGTGACGTTGTGTCAAAGTAAGTGTTGCCCAAACTTAAAAATGGAACTTAAGAATGGAAAGCGTAATGCTGGTGGTCAACAAAAGAGGTTTAAAGACTCTCTCAAGGTAAATCTTTAAAAATGTAGTATAAACACCGACAACTGGGAAACACTGGCCTGTGAGTGCTCCAATTAGAGAACAACCTTTACCAAAGGTGTCATGGGCTTTGAAGTCGCTCAAACTCAGGACAAAAGGGAGAAACTTGCTAAAAGGAAGGCACGCTTGACAAACCCTCACCATGATCAGCTCCCGTCTGGAAACCTGTGTTCCCACTGTGGAAGGACGTGCAGATCCAGAACTGGCCTCCACAGTCACTTACGGACTCTCTGTTAAGACCGTGTTCATGGAAGACAATCTTACTCACCGATGAGTGATTGCCAAAGAAGAGGAAGTTGCCCCACACTTTCCAGGGCATTTCCCCTCCCTTTTCCATATTGCAAAAAATCAGATCTTTGGGAGAAGTTGGTTTGCTGTGCAAGACCTCCCGTCAACTGTAACAGCACAACCTGAATTTGCTGGCATGCGACTGAATCCAAGCTGAAAAGAGCTACAGTCTTGAAGCGCCCCAAAAGAAAGAAAAATGAGGGAGAGGAGGTGAGAGACAAGAGGGGGAGAGAGAGAAGGAGGAGGTCCTTGACAAGTGAGATCACATTCCAGTGTAAGATAATCTTTTCCGTTTAGTAAAACCCATCTGGTGAGGCCAAAAATATGAGTGATGCTAAATGTGTGAATATTTATATAGAGAGATATCTCTATTAATAGCCAGCTCAGTCTCAAAGTGGGAAAAGCTTATGTAGCCATCCGCACTCGAGAGGGAGATACCAACAGACTTAAGGGAACTGCAAGGTTTGCAGCAGTGTATTAAAAGAAAAATAAGAGGGGCTGACCCCTAAAACAGCCCAGCGAGGACTGGACATGCTCCCTTGTTGCAGAATGCTGTTGAGAGGCAACAACTGAAAACTGCAGCGGAGGAGAAACAGAACGAGTATTCTGGGAAGGGGAGTGGCTGGCTGGCGCTCCAACGCACCGACATTCCACACTGAAGGACTTTGTTGCAAGATCCGCTTGTTTTGAGGAACCTCAGGCCCTGGGGGACCAAGTGTGATCCTCCAAGACTCTCTGTCTGGCCCTAGAGACTCTTCTCAGGGCCCAGCCTCTCCTGAATCACACTCTTCCCCAGCCTTGCGTCACACCCTCCTTTAGTAGATTTGCCTGGCTAAGGGACTTCACTCTGGATTTGTGAAGGGTTTACTCCTTAGCCTTTCACCAAAGGTGTCGTGGGTTTTGAAGACGCTCAAACTCAGGATGAAAGGGATAAACACACTAAGAGGAAGGCACGTTTGGCAAACCCTCACCATGATCAACTCCTGCCCGGAAACCTATGTTGGAAGGAAGTGTGGATCCAGAAATGGCCTCCACCGTCATTTACGGAGTCACTGTTAAAACCGTGTTTATGGAAGACAATCTTACTCAGCTATGAGTGATCACCAAAGAAGAAGACTCCTTAGCCTTTCCTTTTCCCAAAGAAATCCCATAAGGCAATGGAAGTTTAGGATCAGAGTTTTCCTTCTCCTAGGTAGGCTACCTTCCCAGGTTGACAAGCCCCATCTGCCCCTCATTTCCCTCAACAGCAAGTGCAGAAATCACCTTCTTCACTGTTGGACCCACTATTGGCCGTCTGCAAAAACCCAATAAACATAGTCAAGTCAGACTATGACTATTGGTCTCATCCACTCAATCTGCTGGAGCCTGTCTTCTCATGAATGGAAGAAGAGAAGAAGAGTTTGGATTTGATATCCCGCTTTATCACTACCCAAAGGATAGTGATATCTATCCTTCCAGCTCACTTCCAGCTCTCACTTCCATATATATGGAAGTGAGAGCTGGACCATAAAGAAAGCTGATTACAGAAGAATGGATGCTTTTGAATTCTGGTGGTGGAGGAGACTCTTGAGAGTCCCATGGACTGCAAGAAGATCAAACCTATCCATTCTTAAGGAAATCAGCCCTGAGTGCTCACTGGAAGGACAGATCCTGAAGCTGAGGCTCCAATTCTTTGGCCACCTCATGAGAAGAGAAGACTCCCTGGAAAAGACCCTGATGTTGGGAAAGATGGAGGGCACAAGGAGATGAAGACGACAGAGGACAAGATGGTTGGACAGTGTTCTCGAAGCTACCAGCATGAGTTTGACCAAACTGCGGGAGGCAGTGGAAGACAGGAGTGCCTGGCATGTTCTGTTCCACGGGGTCACGAAGAGTCGGACATGACTAAACAACTAAACAACAACAACAAAGGAGTCTCAAAGCGGCTAACATTCTCCTTTCCCTTCCTCCCCCACAACAAACACTCTGTGAGGTGAGTGGGGCTGAGAGACTTCAAAGAAGTGTGACTAGCCCAAGGTCACCCAGCAGCTGCATGTGAGGAGTGGGGAAGCGAACCCAGTTCGCCAGATTACGAGTCTACCGCTCTTAACCACTACACCACACTGGCTCTCCCAAGTCCCTAACTCTCCAAGGGTTTGACACCCATTGGCATCCCTCACCTGGCTTAGCCAGCCAGCTGAATCTGTTCCCAGGGTGTGGCTGCTGACATCTTCCAGGAATTGAGTACAATGTGGAGACCAAAGGTGGACAAGCTATCCCAGAAGGAGCATGACTTGTCCCCCGCCAGAAGTACTACCCCTCCCCTAACACCCATTGTGCTATTACCGTGTTTGTATTTAAGTACATCATAATTGTCATGGCCTCTGGCTAGCACAATAAGCTGAATGAATGAATGAACTGAGAATGAATCTAGCTCAGTCTCCTAGCAGTGGCTCTTTGGGTTTTCAGAAAGGTTCTTAGTCTCTCCTAGCCATAACTGGAGATGCTAAAACCTGAGGCATTCTGCATGCAAAACAGATGCTCATTTAACCTCCCCATGAAGAAAACGGAAAGAATTATCATTAAGATAGACCAGGCATAGGCAAACTCCGTCCCTCCAGATGTTTGAGACTACAATTCCCATCATCCCTGACCACTGGTCTTGTTAGCTAGGGATGATGGGCATTGTAGTCCCAAACATCTGAAGGGCTGAAGTTTGCCTATGCCTGAAATAGACAATGCTTGTTTAATCTCCCTAAAAACAAATCAGAATAGATTCTCAATAAACAGGCTTTCTGCAAGCATCTCTTGGTCTCTTCCCCTCGCCTTCCCTCAAGATTTCCACACTGGAAATTCTCCTTTATAGTTGCTTCATTATGAAACTGCCACTTGGGACAGTGACATTTAGTTAGCTTAATCTATATTTTATCCAATTTCTTAGCCCAACTGACTTTCAAGACATCTTACAACAGATCTATAAATGTGCAAATCTTCCACCCAGGTACACTATTGATTCTTGTTTCTAAAAGTGGGGTGGAGAGCAAAGGACATCACCAATAATGCAAATGAAATTCTTGTGAAACTAACCATCAAATATATTGGTCTCTAAGCTAAAGCGAGCAGCACTGTGGTCTAAACCACTGAGCCTCTTGGGCTTGCCAATCACATGGTTGGTGGTTCAAATCCCCACAATGGGGTGAGCTCCCATTGCTCTGTCCCAGCTTCTGCCAACCTATCAGTTTGAAAGCACACCAGTGCAAGTAGATAAATAGGTACCGCTGTGGCAGGAAGGTAAATGGTGTTCTGTGCGCTCTGGTTTCCATCACTGTGTTCTGTTGCACCAGAAACAGTTTAGTCCTGCTGGCCACATGACCCAGAAAGCTGTCTGTGGACAAACACCGGCTCCCTCGGCCTGAAAGTGAGATGAGCGCCACAACCCCATAGTCGCCTTTGACTGGACTTAACTGTTCAGGGGTCCTTTACCTTTTTTTACATTCAAATCAATGAATTTTTAGGTTATTTCATCATGAGCCATTAACGTTGCTATTCTTAATCCACAACTGTGGATGATGAATAAGTAGCATCAAACAGCAAAAGATGGCCTGAAATGTTTTAAAACGTGAATTTTCTTTGAAAACTTTCAGTAAATTGAATAAAATAGTAAAGCACAATATATATTGGCCTCTGGCTCCAATTCCGCTCTTCCCCCCACAAAAAAATCCATTGTATCCTTTTAAAAAAAATTGTTCAGAAGGCTATTGTCGCAATTCCAAAAGTCCCCTGGAAGGTAGAGATCAGATACAGAAGAAGATAATTGCAATGTATTGTATCAGATTGAATTTACATTTAATGCTCTTCAGTTTGGCAACCTCAGAGATTCAGCAGATTAAGTGAAATAAAGCAAACCCTTTTTGAATGCAACCCATTAAAAGCTTGATGCTGCAACAGTAACCTCTGTAAATAATGAAGACTTTCCAGCTCATGTTTGTCACAGCAAAAGTGTAGCATGAATTAAAAGATGGGGAGTGATTAAACAACTGAATCTTGTTTGGTGGCATGTTACCAAGCAACTATGAAGTGGCTGAGACAACCATTCTGCAAGAGACAAAAGGAGGGAGAAGCTGTCGTGCCTGAGAAAATGTTTCAGAGTCTTGCCACGAGGTGCATTCAGCAATTTCTTGTTTGAAGTACGACCTCGCCACCAATTAGCATAGCCCATTAGCATTCTCTTGCCCATTCAGCTTGCTGAAATCAGGTATAGGGCTTATAAGACAGGGCGTAGACACTTAGCGCAGGGGCTCGAGTCGATTCCCAGAAAACAAAGGGAAGAAAATATCTGAAGGGGCTGTATTTTTTCAAAATGATTAGATGGGTTTTGCAAGCAGTTCTTATTCACTTAGCAAGGCCAATCACAGCAACTGACTACCTGAAAGATCATTATCTCCCTTTATGAAATTGCCCAGGCGCTAAGATCCTGAGGTGAACTCCTTCTTTGGTCCCATCAACATTCAAGGTGCAGTAAGGCTGGGCGATATCTGGTTTTCGACATCGTGATATATCACCTGCTAAATATCACAATACATCACAGTGTCTGAAATAAGGACGGAGCCATGTAGAGGCATTGGCTGGCTTCACGTTTTTTCTTTCTTTTTTATAATTTTTATTAAATTTTCTGTTTTACAATTTAAAGTACTCATTTTTACATCCTTAGGATATCTATGACTTCCCTTCTTCTCTTTCCATGGTTCATTTTACATATCATAAATCCCTGCATATTTTACATAAACTATACCATTCAGTATTCCATTATTGCATCCATCAAAACTTATTTATACTGTTGAATTTTTCTTAATGCTGCCAGTGTTTTCAGCTGCACACAATTATTTCTCATATATTCAATAAATGTTTTCCAATCTTCTCTAAACTTATGTTCCTCTTGTTCTCTTATTCTGTATGTTAAGTCTGCTAGCTGCACATATTCTGTCAACTTAAGTTGCCATTCTTCTTTGGTTGGGACCTCACTCATTTTCCATTTTGGGACTAACAAAACACAGGCTGCAGTAGTGGCATACATAAATAACCTTTTTTTTGACACTTGGGAATTTCAGCCTGAATTATCCCCAAAAGAAAGGACTCTGGTGTTGTGGGGGGGGGAGTACTTTTAAACATTTTTTTCAATGCATTATGCATCATTTCCCAATATGGCTTTACGTTTCCCCCCGCACTGTGATTTTGATTTTTGCATAACACACACACACACCATGGTTCACAATATATTAGAATCATAGAATCATAGAATCATAGAGTTGGAAGAGACCACAAGGGCCATCGAGTCCAACCCCCTGCCAAGCAGGAAACACCATCAGAGCACTCCTGACATATGGTTGTCAAGCCTCTGCTTAAAGACCTCCAAAGAAGGAGACTCCACCACACTCCTTGGCAGCAAATTCCACTGCCGAACAGCTCTTACTGTCAGGAAGTTCTTCCTAATGTTTAGGTGGAATCTTCTTTCTTGTAGTTTGGATCCATTGATTGGTTGCAGGTCTGTGGGTATTGGCGGCGAGCTTTGCTCGAGTGGCGGTTAGGCATTGGTATGGGTATTGTTATGTAGATGTTTGGGGGGAGGAGTGCCATCACCTCCCCCGGATATTGAAGGGTAGTCCGATAAAGGATTCCGGGGAGCATGGCCCCGTCTGAAGCCTATGGAGGCCAGGGCCCAAGGCACACACACCCCGAGCAGTGACCCTGGGGGAGTGCCTAGTTGATGTGCATCAGCTTATTGCCAGGTCAAAAATTATGAAACCGATATCACAATATGGACTTCAAACCGGTTTTGGCCAATATATTGATATATTGCCCAGCCCTAAGGTGTGGTTGGACTCAACCCTCAGGGTCCCTTCCAACTCTACAACTCTGTGATTCTATGAAGTGTGGAAAAAATGCAAATATTTTTCCACTGTAATCCTGAGGCAAGGGTACTACCATCTCCTTTATCTTATCATTTGCACAGCACACGCCAAGGAATAGTGACACAAATAATATTTATCATCATTAAAGGTGTAGGACTACCTCTCAGGAAGACAGCCAGGAGGGAAGGCTGCTCAGAAAATCAAGGGGGTGGGGAGACGTCAATTGAGATTGCAGGGGATCCCTGGCCCCTTCTTATTCTTTGAGTGGCAGCTTTGATCCCAGCCTTGCTAATGATCACCTCTCGCTTTCCACGTTCACAGAAGGACAATTACCGCAGTGACACAAGGCTGAGGCCAGAGCCCCAGAATTTCAGCACCGAGACTGGGAAAAGCTTGCGGGGGATGTTACACCCGTTGCCTGAATCTTAGCACCAAAGCTGAAGAAATGAGCGTCTCGCCATTCTGCGTAGCAGGACCCTCAAGCCCAACCCCCCATTAGCATAAAGAAATTCACAAAGAGAATTTTTGTTTAAGGTTATTGGGCAAATTTTTTGGCCACAACTTTATTGATTACAGGAAATGAGAGCGGTATTGGCTTAAAAGGTAAAGGGACCCCTGACCATTAGGTCCAGTCGTGACCGACTCTGGGGTTGCGGCGCTCATCTCGCTTTATTGGCCGAGGGAGCCAGCATACAGCTTCCGGGTCATGTGGCCAGCATGACTAAGCCACTTCTGGTGAACCAGAGCAGCGCACGGAAATGCCGTTTACCTTCCTGCCGGAGCGGTACTTATTTATCTACTTGTACTGGTGTGCTTTCGAACTGCTAGGTTGGCAGGAGCAGGGACCGAGCAACGGGAGCTCACCCCGTCGCGGGGATTTGAACTGCCAACCTTCTGATCGGCAAGCCCTAGGCTCTGTGGTTTAACCCACAGCGCCACCTGCGCAAAAGACTATATCTGACTCCTGCCCCCTTTGCAGGAAGTCTGTAAGGGTAAACCACCCAAAGGGAAACTGCTTCAGGGGAACCCGCCTGCATCTCCCCTGGTGTCCCCAGAGGCCTGGCATAGCCCTAGCCCCTCAAGCAGACTTTGGACAGGAACCAGGCCCCGGATTCCTTTAACAGAATACCCTTGACCAATGGAGGGGCAGGCGATGGCCGACCTCCCCTCCCCCACTCAACAATAAGCCAATGCCTAACCGCCAAACCTTACAAAGTTGTGACGACTGCTAAGAGGTAGGCAAAAACCAAGTGGCCCGTGCCAATTCGCCAAATGGAAAAATTCCTACCCGGTCCCCGACCCAAGACGGGCAACCAACCGAAGTCCAAAGCAAGGCCAAAGGACACTTAAATTAAAGGGAGGGTGAGCGGGTGTTTGGCAGCGTGAAACAGGTGCTTGGCACACGTCGCGCTGCCGCTTTTATACATTCCCCCACGATCACCCATTCAAATTGATTGGGCAATAGCCCTGGGTGATCACGGTGCCACCCTGGCATGAGGGTGATGGCTCCACCCACGCCGGGGACGGGACGGGACCGGGTTGAGGGCCTGCCCACAACCAGGACCATCTATTAAGATGATCCCACCACAGCACACAGATGCAGTTCAACTCAGGGCAAATTCGACTGGGCACGAGAGAGAGGCTGCCTTGTGTGCTGGAAAAGAGGGCAAGACTGTCATTGGCTGCTTGAAAACCAGCTGCTGGGAACCACAAATGAGGAGAGTGCTGTTGCAACCAGGTCCTACATCCTGGCTTCCCATCGACATGGGCCACCGGAGGCTGGTCTGGATGGGCCTGATCCAGTAGACTCTTTTCCGTTTCCAGAAAACATATGGTTACAAAACTCGGCTGCCTACCCCTCTCTCTGCTGAACGGTGGCAAGAGCCCATGGCATCCCAAATGCACACACAGGGTCTTTAGAGAATGGAAGACACGGTGGAGACTGTCGTGGCTTTAGGAAATGTGGTTTATTCACCTATTTGCACTTTCAGTCTGCATGGAAGGAGTCCAGATCTGATAGCACAGACCTTTCAAGAGGGGCTTGTACCCGACAGAAGTGCAGTCCCTCTCTACAGCCAGCCCTGCAGCCAGCCTCTCCAAGATGGATCCTAGCTCTGCTTCCTCTTCCTTCCTCCCAGCCACCCTTGCTCCCAAAGCATTTACTCTGGCAACCTTCCAAATCCCCAGTCTCTGTTTCACAACTCAGGGCAAGGGGAAAGGAGTTCTCTTGTACTGTTAATGTCCCTCAATTGCTCTCTATTGTTCCTTAACAGGGACACGGGTGGCACTGTGGTCTAAACCACTGAGCCTCTTGGGCTTGCCAATCAGAAGGTCTGCGATTCAAATCCCTGCAACTGGGTGAGCTCCCATTGCTCTGTCCCAGCTCCTGCCAACCTAGCAGTTCGAAAGCACGCCAGTGCAAGTAGATAAATAGGTACCACTGTGGCGGGAAAGCAAACAGCATTTCCATGCGCTCTGGTTTCCGTCACGGTGCTCTGCTGCGCCAGAAGCGGTTTAGTCATGTTGGCCACATGACCCGAAAAGCTGTCTCTGGACAAACACCGGCTCCCTCGGCCTGAAAGTGAGATGAGTGCCGCAACCCCATAGTCGCCTTTGACTGGACTTAACCGTCCAAGGGTCCTTTACCTTTACCTTTATTGTTCCTTAGCTTAGCCACAGGAATTCCTCTGCAGCTTGCATTATCCCTTCATGTCCCAAATAACCAAAATCCTAGCATTTATTATTTTCTAGGGTTTAGGGGGGGTTCTCCCCCTTTATAACAATACGGCAATAATTTTTTCGTGATAACTGGGGCTGCTGCTTCTCATCTCAGATCAGCTTTTCTTTTTCTAATTCCCCGTGCAACATCACCTGCTCAGAGCCCTGGTTTTACGGTTGTACTTCTTTATGGTTATAATCTTAGATATGTCATAGTTTTAACATCAAGCTTTTTGTCACTTAGACGCAAAGAGCCCAATCTGCATGTGATGTATAGGACAGCTAATTAGCGGGTGGAACACCAGCTGAGTATCGTTGAATTTGCATCCATGGTGGCACTAAACCATCAGATTCCAGGGAAGTGAAGAGTTAAGGTTCAAGACGCTTGGGGGACCGGAATATTCTAGATGCATGGAGATTGACACTTTAATGATCTCAGAAATGGCTTAAGATGACAGGAACTAGGGTGACACAAATACTGCACTGCCACCCGAGTGGCTTCAGAGGAGAAACGAGAGCTGGTCCTTTGCTTAGATTTGCAGCCTAAAAGCGTCAAATTGCAGATGCTGTTTCAGGAGTTTGCATTATTAGGGAGAGGGTGTTATTAGTTTAAGGGGGGAAGCCCGTGCAATTATCATGAAACCTATTTGGGGGTCTTTTAGAAATCTGAAGCTCTGTTGCATACCATCTGCTAACCACCAAATGTTCTTTCCTTTGTTATAAATAAAGAATATTTCAGCACCAAATACACACAAGCGTAAGCGACGATGACATTCATTAGGCTGCAGTTCTGCATGTGAAAAGGGCAGGTGGGGAAAGTAGTTTCAGACAAGTAGTTTTATTGAGAGAGAAAGCCTTCAGGAAAGGGGTCAAGTGTGTGTGTGTACATATAGCTGAGGTGTGTTTTATGTTGTTGTTGTTTAGTCATTTAGTCTGGCTCTTCGTGACCCCCTGGACCAGAGCACGCCAGGCACTCCTGTCTTCCACTGCCTCCCGCAGTTTGGTCAAACTCATGCTGGTAGCTTCGAGAACACTGTCCCACCATCTTGTCCTTTGTCGTCCCCTTCTCCTTGTGCCCTCCATCTTTCCCAACATCAGGGTCTTTTCCAGGGAGACTTCTCATGAGGTGGCCAAAGTATTGGAGCCTCAGTTTCACGATCTGTCCTTCCAGTGAGGGAGGACTCAGGGCTGATTTCCTTAAGAATGGAGAGGTTTGATCTTCTTGCAGTCCATGGGACTCTCAAGAGTCTCCTCCAGCACCATAATTCAAAAGCATCAATTCTTCGGCAATCAGCCTTCTTTATGGTCCAGCTCTCACTTCCATACATCACTACTGGGAAAACCATAGCTTTTACTATACGGACCTTTGTTGGCAAGGTGATGTCTCTGCTTATTAAGATGCTGTCTAGGTTTGTCTTTGCTTTTCTCCAAAGAAGCAGGCGTCTTTTAATTTCGTGGCTGCTGTCACCATCTGCAGATGCCATCAAGTATTAACCACCAACTCTCACTTGACTCTTTTTTAAAGCCTTGTGACCTTGGATGTACTACAGATTAAAGACAGAGTGAAACCTGCTGGTACCATAACATAGAGGAGCTTTTATAAAAAAAAACCAGGTGCATTTTGCCATCTGGGCCGGCTTATCTCTCCTACGCACATCATACCTGATCAGCCAGTCGGAGGATTTGAAGAAGTTCCCATCTGCATCTTGCTTCCCTCCCTTCTCCAGTTGGAGGGAAAAGATGCAAGTGGGGGGGGGGCAGAAGAGATTTCTTCTATGTAATAGTTGCACAAGCTTGATTGACAGGTGCCTGGCTTAACCTTGAGCTTTAACTGATGCCGGCTATGGCTTTGCAACAGTGCAAGTAGAAATACGACGTTCAGAAATGTCATGTCTCTCTTCTTCCTCTCCCCACTCCCAAATGAAAAAGAGATTCTGGTGGAAATGAATATAAGAGTTAGGTAAAGGTAAAGGGACCCCTGACCATTAGGTCCAGTCATGACCGACTCTGGGGTTGCGTGCTCATCTCGCTCTATAGGCCAAGGGAGCCGGCGTTTGTCTGCAGACAACTTCCGGGTCATGTGGCCAGCATGACTAAGCCGCTTCTGGTGAACCAAAGCAGCACACGGAAACGCCGTTTACCTTCCCGCCGGAGTGGTACCTATTTATCTACTTGCACTTTGACATGCTTTCGAACTGCTAGGTTGGCAGGAGCAGGGACCAAACAACGGGAGCTCACCCCGTCGTGGGGATTCAAACCGCCGACCTTCTGATCGGCAAGTCCTAGGCTCTGTGGTTTAACCCACAGTGCCACCTGCGTCCCAATAGAAGAGTTACCCTTTATTTATTTTGGTTGTGTGGGGGGATGTAATTTTGCAGCTGTATTCACCTCCCCAAAAAACATGTAGGTCATTTTCATAGAACTTAAGAGTGCCCACATTTGGGACAGTGGTTCCTAAAGTTTTTCAGGGCACTGCTCCCTTGGTTCCATAAACTCAGGCCCAGCGCCCTTTCTCTATATATAGCATTACTCAGAATAGACATTTGCATGACCTACTAATGAAGATAATAACAATCAAACTCAAAATACAGTTGTACCTCGGTTTTCGAACGTAATCCATTCTGGAAGACTGTTCGACTTATGAAACGTTCAAAAACTGAAGCATGCATTTCCAGAAGCACTTACGTCCAGAAAACGCAATATGGAAGCCACGTGGCACGTTTGGCTTCCGAAAAGCATTGAAAAACCGGAGCAGCTACTTCCGGGTTTTCGGCGTTCGAAAGCCAAAAGGTTTGACTTCCGAGACGTTCGAAAATGGAGGTACCACTGTACTAACATAGAATTCAAAATTCAATTATAACTATTTAGTTCAATAAAACAAAACTGATAAACTTGGACCAGTGGAACCAACTTTTCAAAGTCTGATAGTCGTTTACACCTTCATTGCTGCCATGCCTTCCCCTTGCCTCTTAGCACCTCCTTAGGTAATCTCATGCTGACAGCTTCCAGGAGGCACAGGTGAGAGCTGAGTGCAGGTTAGGGACCAAAGGTGGACAAGCTACCCCGGAAGGAGCATGATGGCGATCCCCATAGACCCCTGGAAATGGCTTTCACTAGACAGCTAAACCAGATGAAGGTAGCCGATGGGTCTCAAACCCTCAGTGAGTTAGGGACTTCCCTTGCATGCAAAGACAGGGTCCCATGGATTGAGCAGGTGAGACCAATAATGGGTCCAACAGTCAAGAAGGTGGTTCCTGCACGTGCTGCAGAGGGAAGTGAGGGGCTGATGGGTCTCGTCAGCCTGGGAAGGCAGTGTGGGATGTATCTGTTGGGATACTGCCGGGGAGACGGTGGCATCAGGCAGGCATCAGACAGGCCCCAGCTGGCTCTACCCACCAGCCGGCAGCCAGTCTCCCCTGGAACAGCATCAATTAGCGACACGAGCCTCAGATACGTTTAGAGACCCGTGCACGCTCTGTCAGCACAGTGTGTAAATCTTCTTACAGCAGAAGAGGCGGACAGAGAAATGTGTAAGCATATTTACAGCATTTATTCAGCATAGTTCAGGAACAAAGGAAAACATGTCTGCTTCCCTTCGTCTCCGGCAAAACAGCAGTATAGCAAAAGCAACATACAATGGAAGTTCCTAGCGAGTGCTGGAAGTAAACAGGCATGTGATACACAACAGTCATGCCTGGCCCTTTTAAGGTGGAATGGAACTATATCCTAACAGTATCTTCACTGTAGCAATCAAATACAACATTTCCTGTTTCCTAGAGTGGACACACAGGGGAATGTTGCTCCAGACAGGGAGGACTTCCTGTCATACCTGCCCTGGGGCAGGTAGATGTGACCAGGTAGATGGGCATGACCCTAGCACACCCTATAAAGGAACTAGACACGCAGCTCTCTTCCTCTTTTGCTACTTTTCTTTTGCCATCTTCCTCTCTGTCGGCTCTCAGCCAACAGCACATGGGCTCATCCCTCACAAAGGATGAACCCACATTTTCTCTGTAACTGCAAGCTAAAGCCTGCCTTCAGGACCATACTGTGAACTGAACGTAAGTAAACTTCACCATTACGTTTAAAAGAAGACTGTCGTATCATTGTTGTTTTTAAGAGGGAACTAAAGGGGAATTTACCAGGAACAATCCTATCTGGACAAGCCAGACTGGATTGCTCAACTTATATGGTTCTAACGAATGCATCAACTAACTTCCCGCAATGTACAAGGGAATGTGTTCTGCTACTAGCTCACTAGCATGAGTGAGGAAGGATAATATTTAATCAATATATCCTGCCCTACCATCCTCAACATTCTCACAGGCAGCCGATCAAGGAGAAGGAAAACTCTGATCCTAAACTTCTGCCTTGCGGGATGTCTTCAGGAGAAGAAAAGGCAAAGGAGTAAACCCTACACAAATCTGGAGTAGCGTCCCAAGACAGTTGGATGGAGCCTTGTACGTGGTGTGCTAGGAAGACATGGAAACACCCCACAAGCAAATTGGGATGAATGCTCATTATGCTATACCCACTCAGAACAAATGCTTGATGAAGACCAGACATAGTCTGACCACCACATGCACTTTGTGCAAGGAAAGATGGATGGATGCTGAATAAACAGACTGTCTGCAGGAGCCTTAACTAGTTTCAATAAATATGACAGCTCCTCATATTCAGCAAATGGTAATTATCAAGGAGTTCCAGGAAAGGATGCGCTGTGTGCTAATTTGCACTCCCTCCCTCCTTGCTTAGAGTCTTGGATAAGCTGCAAGAGACGAGCAACAGCCCGGGTGTCTCCATCTGCCTCCCAGCTTGGCTTAGCTCCCTGCACAAAGCTTGTACAGTCGGTCTTTGTAGTGGGGCCGGGGTGGATTGCGCCTGGAAAGAATTGTGTTGACATGTGGCGGTGAGAAATTGTGCTGATAAGAAACGGCCTTATAGAAGTGCACTCTGTAGTGTGGGGAGGGATGGAGAGAGAGAGGTAGTGATCAGAGCCAGAGCAAAGGGACAAAATAGCCACAAGGGAAAGCCTTCGTAATGGTCAAGTTTGAGAATGGATCAAAGGTTCTGTCCCCAGCTGGTTTTGAAATACAGCAGAAATGCACACACAAGCATCTTATTAAAATATAGAGGACTGAAATCAGCCTCGTTATTGATGATATTTAGATCCTGCCTTTTCATTAAAGAGCTTTGAGTGTAGGACATACCGTATTTTTCGCTCCATAAGGCGCACCTGACCATAAGGCGCACCTGACCATAAGGCGCACCTAGTTTTTAGAGGGGGAATTCAAAGAAAAAAATATTTAAAGGGAGCGCTGAGCAGAGCCTATATGCATCCCAGGCTCTGCTCTGCGCTCCCTTTCATGAGCCACATGGAGCGTGTGTGCGGCGCTTGCAGGCTTTTCCCTGAGGAGGGAGAAGCCCCCAAGAGCCACACACACACTCCGCGCGGCTCTTGGGGGCTTTTGCAGGAGGTGGGGGAAGTGAGAGAGCCTCGCTCTGTCACTTCCCCCACCTCCCGCAAGAGCCGCACGCTCTTTAAAGGGAGCGCAGCTCTTGGGGACTTTTGCGGGAGGTGGGGGAAGGGACACAGCCACGCTCTGTCCCTTCCCCTCACCTCCCACAAAAGCCAAAGATAGCCGCGTGAAGCCTCCGCAGGGCAGCGGGATGAAGGTTCCCCACTGCCCTGCGGAGGCTTTGCGCCGCTAAGGCAGAAGCTAAAACAGCTAGAGGGAGCACTGCGCAGCGCTCTCTCTAGCTGTTCTGGCTTCTGGGGTAGCCTGCGAAGCCTCCACAGGGCAGCGGGGCGCCTTCATCCCACTGCCCTGCGGAGGCTTCGAGGGCTACCCCAGAGCTGCTCAGGAGTGCGGGGCATCTGCATGCAGCCTGCCCACTGCTCCCAGGGCTGGTGGGGGAAGCCCGGGTCCCCCCAGCCCCAGGGACCACACATTCGCTCCATAAGACACACAGACATTTCCCCTTGGTTTTTAAGAGGAAAGAAGTGCGTCTTATGGAGCGAAAAATACGGTAAGTTGTCCCATTTTGCTTCTCTGCACCACAACCATGTGAGGCAGGCTGAGCTTCAGAGACACTGGCTGGCCTAAGGTCCCCGGACCAGTTTCATGGCAATCTGGGTCTCTGCAGTTGCGAGTAACACTCCAGAATGCCACACCAGTCCCCCCTCTCTTTTGCTTATTAACAGTTTGTTAGAAACACCACATTGGAATCCTGCTGCCAATTCTATTGTTGCCAATACAGTTTGAGAAAGAAAATCCGAGCTAAGTTGCTTAGACAAAGGGCTGGATCAGAAGGCTTGAAGAAAGAGAGCGCATCGCTTTTATATGGAAAGGCTTCCCAAAATCCAACACTTGTACCTCATCCCCAAACTTTTGTTTATATAAAAAACCCAAATATATACTGGAGACCTAGTCCTGCTAGGTATACTTCACTAGGAGTAAGGAATCTTTTGACAACTTTCTGAAGGCCACATACTTGTGAATATGACCAGAGCCATGCAGGATTCTGACATTTCTGGGCACATATGCATGGGCATAGATGGGGGGAGGCAGCTGCCCCCCCCCAATCAAGGCAATAAATAAAAATACTTAACTAAAAGTATAATTAATGAAAGCATTTGAAATTGAAATGCTCACTGAGGTCACTGACAGATTTTTCAGAGCACTTGCGGTCAAAAGAAAGTAATTTAAAACAACTGTTGTTGGTGCCGAAATCCCAAAGGAGCAGAAAAGACTATATATGTCTGCGACCACAGCTGCACGGATGTTACTGGTCCAGAGATGGAAAGAAGATAAAGTCCCTGCCAGAGAAGAATGGCAGATGGAGTTAATGGACTATGCTGAAAGGGCTAAAATGACTGGAAGAGTCAGAAATCAGGAAGAGCAAAATTTTAACAAGGAATGGGGAAAATTTATAACTTATCTTAAAGACCATTGTAAACTGTTAAATTTGTTAGTAGGATTGGCATAGCACTTGTAGTTTAAGGTTGATTCTGGAAGACGTCAAGGATTTGGAGTATCATAAAAGATGTGGGAAGAAATAATTAATAATAGGACCCACAAAGGGGAGGATAGAATTCCAGGAGATTCCTTGGAATCTTGTTTTTATGATTTATGTTTGATATATCTCTGTAAATTTTTAATTTGAAAAACCAAATAAATAATTAAATTTGTAAAAAACAACAACAAAAGCCTGTTGTTGAGACCTTTCATTCCAAATCTGCTAGACAGAGCCAGGCAGAGGATGATGACAGGTGGGTGTCCTCTCCCCCCCTCCCCAAATCCTGGCTACACCCATGCACACATACAAACTTCCCTCCATCCAAGAAATCAAGGGACATTATCAGGGCTGTTGTTGTTAATACAATTTATATACAGTGGTACCTCGGGTTAAGAACTTAATTCGTTCTGGAGGTCTGCTCTTAACCTGAAACTGTTCTTAACCTGAGGTACCACTTTAGCTAATGGGGCCTCCCGCTGCCACCACGTGATTTCTGTTCTCATCCTGAAGCAAAGTTCTTAACCTGAGGTACTATTTCTGGGTTCGTGGAATCTGTAACCTGAAGCATCTGTAACCTGAGGTACCACTGTACTGCCCTTTATCAAAAGACCCCAGGACAGTGTACAACATTAAGAACACATTTTACGAAACCTAATAATAACACAATAAGAAGCATAATAATAAAATAATCATAATAACAGCACACACACACACCAGCTTTAGCAGGCTATAGATAATTTAATGGCCAACAGCCTGGGTAAAGAAGAATGTTTTCTCCTGGTCCCAAACTGGTGGCCTGTGGTGGCCCAGATTAAACTCCCAGGGCAATTGATAGGCAATTAATTTGTATTAAGATATGGCAAAAGTTTACCCCACAGTTTCATTCAGAAGCAGAGAAACGCACTGTAATATACTTGAAGGAGTCCACCCATTTTTTTGTACCTCAGTCATTGATTTTTCCCATCCCGTGTCCGTAAGGATTAAGCGTTAAGTGTGCAGAATAAAGTGGGAATAAAGCTGTCCTCTCCACAGCTACAAATAAATATGCTTTTCTGAATCCATCTGGTCCAGAATCTTCTCTCCAAAAGTCAGAAAGCACTAGGCAATGCAAGACTAAGCAAATCAAATGAAGACCTGTTTATAAGGGCTTTCTTGGTAGTGGCGCCCACCCTGTGGAATGAGTATTATATAAAGTTTAGCAAACATCTGAAGGTAGCCCGGTATGGGGAAGCTTTTTAAGGTTTAAGGTTTTATTGTGTTTTTATATGTGCTGGAGGCTGACCAGAATGGCTGGGACTACCCAGTCAGATGGGCGGGGTATAAATTATTATTATTATTATTATTATTATTATTATTATTATTATTATTACAGCGGTACCTCGGGTTAAGTACTTAATTCGTTCTGGAGGTCCATTCTTAACCTGAAGCACCACTTTAGCTAATGGGGCCTCCTGCTGCCGCCGCGCCGCCGCCGCCGCCGCCGCGCGATTTCTGTTCTCATCCTGAAGCAAAGTTCTTAACCCGAGGTACTATTTCTGGGTTAGCGGAGTCTGTAACCTGAACCATATGTAACCTGAAGCGTATGTAACCCAAGGTACCACTGTATTACTACAGTCATACCTCAGGTTACAGATGCTTCAGATTGCCCGTTTTCGGGTTGCACACCGTGCCGAGCCCAGAAGTACTGGAACAGGTTACTTCTGGGTTTTGGCGCTTGTGCATGTGCAGAAGCACTAAATCGCGCTTTGTGCATGCGCAGAAGCGCCGAATCACAACCTGCACATGCACAGACACGGTGCTGCAGGTTGTGAACGCTGCGGGTTGCGAACATGCCCCCCGCACGGATCCCGTTCGCAACCTGAGCGTCCACTGTATTGCAGTGGTACCTCAGATTTCGGACGTCTCCGTTGCCGAATGTTTCGGTTTTCAGATGCCAAAAAACCCAGAGGTAATTGCTTCCATTTTCAAACGTGCCTCAGAAGTCAAACGGCTTCCGTTGTGTGTATCTGTTGTTTTTCACAATTTTCCCTATTGAATTGGCAGACCACCCTTTGCACCTCAGTTTTCGAACGTTTCGGAAGTCAAACGGTCTTCTGAAACAGATTACGTTCGAAAACCGAGGTTCCACTGTATTACTAGACAGAGCCCAAACATTTGCATTTGTGCAGCTGGTTTGAATTGTGTTCCTTGGTGCATATTTCAGATCTTTTCAGCAAACCAAGAGCAGTGATAGGGCTTACACAATGAACTGCCGACAGTTAAACCGTGGAAGAACCATAAAACAAGATCCCATTATGCCCTCTGTACGTCAGGTGCAGGTTTTTCACACACATACACAAAATGTTACATTTACATCTGAGGGGCAAGCGCATCTCAAAGCAGGTGTGAACAATTATGCCATTAGACACATACACACTGCAAAAAAAAAACAAAACCCACACACACTAAAATCTTGGAACAGAAGGGACTCAGCAGGTATTAATCCTGGGATCCAAAGGGAATTACTCTGCATTCTATATGGGACGCTTCATCTCCTTACAGACTCAGTTAAGTAGCATTAATACAAATATTCATTTGACAATGGTAATTTTACAGATGGGAGAGTTCGTAACAGATGGCCTTCCTTTCTCCCCCCACCCACCCAAGAGCAGTGTAGCCAGGGACTGGTGCCAACAGAGGAGGAAGTCCCGTGTCCTTCCTATTTCCTGAGCCTAAGGCATCCTCTGCCGTGTCCTCTATTCCCCCAGCATCTGTGGCGGGTGGCAGGTGCGATGGCAGCAGCCCCATGGAAGACGTGCCGCCATGTTGATTCCAAGGAGCTAAGCTCCATATAGATGGGAACTCTAGCAGAGTTGGCATTGTGCTTTCAGAGACTGATTCGGAGGTCTCCCCCTGAGATAATTGCCGTCTGAAAGGCCTAATGCCAAGGGAATCCAGGGAGCCCGCGTCTTCCTCGGCGTCGTAAAAGCCGGAAGAAAATTGGCTTAATTTCGCCAGGGTGTCCCCGCAAAAGAGGCTTGCCGTTGTTCTGAAATGTTGCCATAGATACCGCCAACAAAGCACTCTGCGTGAAATAAAACGAGGGGAAATGTAGGGAAATGAAGACACCTGAACCGTTGTGTTCCCTTTGTTGTGCCACAGGCTTGGCAGACAAACGCAACTCTGCCACCCCCAGCCCCCCCCCAAGAGATATTCATAGAAGTGAAGCTAGGTTGAAAGAGGACTCGCTTCTGATGGTATGCAAGGCACGCTCGGCCCCTTCTTACTTCTGGTTAATAAGGTTTTGCCGTTGTATCACAAAACCTCCTTGATCAAAAGCAACCACGACACAAAATACATTTGTGTGTGCTTCACAGACAGTGATCCCCCACTCTCAAACCAGTTTCAGCTCAATGAAAAGCTCTTTGTTGGTCCACAGACATCGCAGCATTTTTTCCTCCAGCGATGAAAGCTCTTCTGCTCAGTGAGCAGACCGTAGACACCCAAGAACATCGCAACTGGCTGCAACTGCAGAATACTTGCAACCCACTAGCCCAATTCAAATGCAACGCTAAACCATAAGTTTTGCGTTGCGTGGCAAGGTCCCAACCGCCCCCCCCCTCCGGAGGTTGAATAAAGACACTTGACACCAGTATTTTAGGTTAATGGGCTAAAAAAAGACCACAATTTTATTGCCTACAGATTGTGAGCGGTACAGTCATACCTCGGGTTGAAGTAGCTTCAGGATAAGCATTTTCGGGTTGCTCTCCGCGGCGACCCGGAAGTAACGGAGAGCGTTACTTCCGGGTTTCACCGCTCGCGCATGCGCAGACGCTCAAAGTGACATCACGCGCATGCGCGGAACTGGCGATTCGTGGCACGCGCAGACGTGGGTTGCATTCGCTTCAGGATGCGAACGGGGCTCTGGAACGGATCCCGTTTGCATCCAGAGGTACCACTGTATTGGCTTAGGCATTGGACCTAACTGACTATATCTGACTCCTGCCCGTCATGCAGGGAGTCCGGGAAGGGTTAACCATCAGTAGGGGGAGTCCTGGTGATGCACATCAACTAGGAGCTCTCCCGGGGTCACCAATAGGGGTTGTGCCTTAGGCCCTAGCCTCCCCAGGCTTCGGACAGGGGCACACCCCCAGAATCCTTTAATGGAATACCCTTCAATGTGCGAGGGAGATGATGGCGCTACCTCCCCACCTCTCTTCTCCAGCAATATTCCAATGCCTAACCGCCAAACCTTACAAAGTTGTGACGATTTGCTTTGAGGTAGGCGAAAACCCAATGGCCCGTGCCAATTTGCCAAGTGGAAAAAGTTCTACCAGGCCCCTCAACGGCGACCAACCGAAGTCCATAGCAAGGTCAAGAGATGAAAAACCTAAAGGGTGGGAGGGTGGGAAAACCGGAGCAGCTGGAAGCATGAAAAGGGGAGAGCTCCCCAATGCGTCCTGCTTAAATCAAGCAGGCCACACCCCCATTGGTCGCCTGGGCAGTGACGCGGCCGGGAATCCCCCCAATCGCACAGGGCTGACCACCCGCCCCGCACAAGTGGAGGGGTCGTGATAGCCCGCAACCCCACCTCCTCCTTAAGGCGGAAGTAGCTTTATAGGAACGGGAACAGCAGGTTGTTTCAACTGCGGTCTGCTGAAACAAGCCAGGATTAGAAACCGTAGCTTGATCTTGGCTTGCTTTAATAAGCTATACTTGAATCTAACGCAAATTGGTCCAGTAGTGACATAAAGACAAACTGTGGTTGGTCTAACTGAGGGAACAGGTGCTTCTCCTCAAGGCCTTACAAGAAGAGGAGGAGGAGTTGGGCGAAGGTGTTTTCCTGAATCTCAAGCCAACCTCATTACACTAATGGCGAAAAATTTGCCTTTTTAAATGTGTCCCCTAAACTGTCGCACCTTAGTGGTTAGCTGCTCAGAAACTGCTAGAAATGACAACTTTTCATACCGTGCCTTTATAGAGAGACCCTCCAAATATTTCCAATACCTAGAAATTAATATTCTTGCAGAAAAATCCAGCTAAAGTTTTACTTTTCCCATCATTGTTCTGGTTGTCCCGAATATTAATTGATGCACCCTCTCTTCGTGCTCGATTTACATTTTTTTTAATTATTTTAAATAGTGTTTTTTTCAGGGTCCGAAATCAACTTGCAAACAGTTCAATAGCGGCAGGAAGAAAGCTATGCAGAAGCAGTCTGGGTCCAGTATGAGGAAACACAGTTTGAATCTATGAGAAAGGGAGACAGCTCCACGTACTGGATAATCGGAGCCTTTTTCTTTTCTTTTTCCTTTCTGTTCAGCTCCACAACCGCGAGGGCTTGGATGATGAACAAAATGAAATAAAAGTAGCAGTTTATGGCGTTCAGATTTTGTAAATGTGGCATGCTATAAATTGCTGGACAGATATTTTTTTTCCAGGGCAGCAGCAAACTAAACACAGTCCTAAAGCCAATGGATGCATTTTGTTTGCCCTGCCTTAACACAAAGAATTAGCATAGCACAACAAAAAGTGTAGCCAATCACTTTTTTAGCTAGCTTCCCATTCTATAGAAAACTCATTATGCCAAAGGACAACATATATGACAAGCCCACGAAACTGCCATTCTGAAATGCATGTATTTCCCCCTTGCTCTTCCAGCTCCCGCTATTGTTGTACCCCCAAAGAGGATTCACAATGTAACTGGAGCCCAAGTCTACCTGTCTTGTGAAGTGAAAGCAGTCCCAACACCCATCATCACCTGGAAGAAGGTATGTGAAAGATGCCAAGTGTTTTGTGGGGTAGAGATCTAGAGCTGAGCCAGCCTTGTTTCTGATGTTAGATGCTGAAGCTTCTGTCATTTTGGGAAATGATATATAATGAGTTGAAAAAAATGTTCAAATTAACTTTTATTTTTTTTAAAAAACAGAGGCTTTTTTATTAGGAATTGTAGGTGATGATGTTCTAAGGGAAAGGAAAAGACTTTTCGTGTATGCAAAAACAGCCACACAGATGTTACTAGCCCAGAGATGGAAAGAAGATAAAGTCCCAACCAGAGAAAAATGGCAAATTAAACTGTTGGGACTATGCCGAAATGGCAAAACTGACCGGAAAGCTCAGGAACCAAGAAGACCAAAACTTTAACAAAGAATGGGGGAAATTTGTAATTTATATCGGAGACCACTGTAAGCAGATGAAAACATTAGCAGGATTGCAATAACACTTGTAATGTAGCAATTACTGTGGAGATAATGGAGTTGTATAAAATATGGACTATTGAAGAAGATGCAGCAGAAAAGGTTAGGACCCATGGAGGGGGAGGTGGGAAGTCTAGAGATTCGGAGGAATCTTTAAATGTGGATGTGGATGGTTATATTGTTACAATTTTATATTTGTAAAATCAATTTATTATAGAAGATGAAGCTTCACTTTCAGGTAGAGCCAGTGATCTGGAAACTGATATATACGCTGTTGTCCTCTCCAGATCTTGGTTTTCCTACAACTGCCTTCCCCCAACCTGGCGCCCTCCAGGTATTTTGAACTACACCTCCCATCAGCCTCTAGCAAAACATCTGGAGGGCACTAGCTTAAGGAAGGCTGTTCTCATAACCAAGAAGTTCAGATGGCCTAGATGTTTACATCAAATTTAGAATCATAGAATTGTAGAGTTGGAACCACAAAGATCATCTGGTCCAACCCCCTGCAGTGCAGGAATCTTTTAGCCAACATGGGGCTCAGACCCATTTCTCTGAGATTAAGCTCCTACCGAACGAGCTTGAAGTGGTATAACTGCACCACTCTAGGTTGCTTACAATACTAGCAATAGGAACCAGGGGATTCAAATATCAGGAGTTCAGCCCTATACTCATGTAGGACCCTGGCAGAGACACATGCCCGACTAGGATGTTCCCTCCCTCCTGGTCGTTCGTTCGGGAGCTTCAAAAGCTTTCTTTAGCCTGAACATCACAGCGACCGATGCCAACCAACACCGGCACACTTAGGGATCTGCAAAGTTTGTGCATCATGCGCGTGACAGACCTCAGCAACTCAGCATTTTGGCTAATCTACTTTATTTACATATCAACACACACGGAGCACTGCAACATGGCTCCCTCTCTCTCTAACATCAGACAGCAAAGAGAAAAAGAACAAAGGACAATAGTCCTACTTCACGGAACACAGTGACACAAATATCCTGTCTCTGTCACTTCCAACTCCGTGGAGTCAAAACATACACTGTCATGTGATAGACAACAATCCCATGACTGCAATCATGGAGCAGGAATTCTAACATCAAATGCAAAATCAGCATCCAATTTTATGGCGCAGGGAAAGCTTAGTTTCATGGAGGGTGGGGTTCACAATCGGATCTGGGCTTAAAGCCTGTGTCTACTGTGTTTTCACCTTGCTAAAACTCTGCAGGTCACGGAATCCCCAAAGGGAGTGAAGCTCTTAGAAGAACTTCCTGGAGACAGAGTCAACATGGCAGTGCAGGTCCGAGGTGGTCCTTCAAAACATGAGAGCACAGGCTGGGTTTTGGTAAGTTCCCATTGCACTATATAGTTCAAGAGAGCCCCTCCGTACAGCAGTAGGTTCCCTCGTTGCGAGAAGTGAGGTTACAGGGAACCAGACAGAGGGCCTTCTCGGTAGTGGCGCCCACCCTGTGGAATGCCCTTCCTTCAGATGTGAAGGAAATAATCAGCTATCTTCTCTTTAAGACATCTGAAGGCAGCCCTGTTTAGGGAAGTTTTTAATATTTAATGCTTTATTGTTTTTAACACTTGATTGGAAGCCGCCCAGAGTGGCTGGGGAAACTCAGTCAGATGGGCGGGGTATAAATAAATTATTATTATTATTATTATTATTATTATTATTATTATTATTATTGTAGTGGAGCAGCATTGCTGAACAACAAATAGAGCAGGACCATCCGGTATAAATCCATTGTTATTGCATCAGTGTTGCAGAATATCCCTGGGAAAAACCCACCAGTCTTCCCTTGTGGCAGCTGCCATGAATTCTGAATCTATTAATTGTACAGACATGAACCAACCTTTTTGGTTGCTGCGGTTCACCTTTTCTTCTTGTGTGTCTGTTTCCCTTCCAGATTAACCCACTGACAAAAGAAGACGAGGGCATTTACCAGTGCCATGCTACAAACATGGTGGGAGAAACACAAGCAGAGGGGAATATTAAAGTCCTAGAGCAAAGCAAAAATAAGAGGAGTAATTTCCCGGCATCGGATGACATGAAGTAGCAAGGTAACGTTGATGCTGCTAGTGCTCTTTGAGTCTAGGAGTGCCATTTTAAGACACTGTGTATGTCCAGCTTGGGTCATAGTCAGCACTGATTTGTACATGGTTTACATGATGTTCTTAATGAAAAGGTTCCTGCCCGGAGGAGCTTACAATGTTAATTTCAACTCAAGGAGAGAAAGGCAGAGGCATGAATACCAAGGAACTTCTAGAACAGCCTTAAAAATAAGCCTTCATAATAGTGCACTAAGAGGCTGGCAGCCAGTGTTTCTGTCCAAACATGGGAAATCCCTCCTCACCAACTAGCATGTACCATATTTTTCGCCCTATAGGACGCAATTTTTTCCCCTCCAAAAATGAAGGGGAAAGGTGTGTGCGTCCTATGGGGCTAATGCAGGCTTTCGCTGAAGCCTGGAGAGCGAGAGGCGTTGGTGCGCACCGACCCCTCTTGCTCTCCACGCTTCAGGAAGCTATCCGCAAGCCTTGCGAGCCCGGCGGGAGGTTCCGCCGGGCGCACAAGGCTTGGGGCAGCAGCCTGCAGGACGAAGCACGGGGCGCCCTCCGGAGGACGCCCCGTGCTTCGGTGTCCGCAAGCCTTGCGTGCCCGGCGGGAGTTCCCGCGGGCTCGCAAGGCTTGCGGGCAGCAGCCTGTTCTGTGGGCTGGGGGGGGGATTTTTTTTTTATTCATTCCCCAACCCAAAAAAAGGAGGTGCGTCCTATGGGCCAGTGCGCCTTATAGGGCGAAAAATACGGTAAATACTAGTTAGCAAGCCAGTTTGGGAAAAGCCTTTTCCAAACAAGCTAGTGGAATAGAGTAGAGCACATGGATGAGTTTCCTTTCCTCAGCAGCCAGCACAGAAAGTAGATTGGGAGATCTGTCCCTCCTCCCTCTCTCACCTGCTTGGAATTCTACGCTCACCTCCATGGTCTACTATCATGCTTCATTCCAATGTATTTAAGGGGTTTTTCCCCAGGACTAGGGGGTTAAGACAAAGGTTTCCTTTTTAAGCAACTTAGTGTAGTTACTGAGGACAGGTAAAAGGAATTGTAGAGGGATTCTTGGCCCAGACATGGAAAGAAGATAAAGTCCAGACCAGAGAAGAATGGCAGATTAAGCTGATGGATTAGGCCCAAAAAAAAACCTTAACAACGTTGGCCTGCCCCCCTAAAAAAAGGTGAACTTTGACCTGAACCCCTAAAAAAGTCAAAAACTTTGCACTGCCCCCCTAAAAAAAGCTTGACAACTCTGAACTCCCCCCGCCCCCCAAAAATTAGTAGATCACTTCCATATTTTTTTCTGGGAGTAGATTGCAGTCTCTTGGGAATTGGATGTCCCTGCAATAACACTTGCAGTTTAATGGGAATTTTTGACATAATGGAGATGTAAAATATTTGGATTATTATGAAAGATGCAGGAGGAAATGATTTACAATAGGACCCACAAAAGGGAAGAGGGAAGTCCAGGAGATTCTTTGGAACCTTGTTTTTATGTTGTATGTTGAATATGTGATTGAAAAACTTTAATCTGAAAAACCAAATAAATAATTTTATTTTATTTTTTTAAAAAAGAGGAATCGTAGAGGGATTCCATTTTGCTCGTCATCCCATTTTCAAAGCCCCTTGCAGGATAAAGTGTGTTGTGAGATGGTGTCAACAAGTTTGGCACCATCACACCTGAGGACATATCACACCTGGTTCAGGGGACCTCTCAATCTGCCTCCCCCCCCCCAATGTACTTTAAGATCAGCTAAGGAAGCCCAGCTTAAAGTGTCTCTGCCTCTTAGCCGTCAAGTAAATGGGTGGATACAACAGTTGCACTCCATTCTCCTCCCATCTGTGGAACTTCCTTCCTAGAGAGGAGTGTTCATTATTGAGCTGCTTTTTACATGGTGAAATGTGGGCATGTAGACAGGTTTTTCCCAATTTATTGCTGACAGGTTGGGGGTTTTTTGTGACATGTTCTTTCAGGCGACAGACTTTGTCATTTAAATGTGATTTTATTGCAACTACTGCGTTTTCACAGCGCTGCAAGCTGCTTTGAAAGCCTTTTGAGGCTATCAAATGGGAGGGGGTTAATAAGGCTCAAAACAAGTCAGCATGCGAGCATTGAGATTATTCTTTGAATGTAAAAGCTCCAAAATCCAGGATAGGGAAAGCGGTTTTCTTATTTGCACTGTTCCCACAATAGAGTGGATCATGTTGCTGGAAGTAGTATTCTCCGAGAGCAAAGATTCTTGTCGTGCACTGAGTACTTCCATCTTCTAGGTATGCCTCCAGGCATGTCAGTATTTTGCAGGTGATTCATGCAGATGCTTTCGGTTTGCACAATTAAAGTGTCATGTGGCCCTAGCATAACATATCCACTTGAAAGAAAATCTCAGAGTTAATCCCTACCACAAAATACTGACAGCTTGGAGACAATCTGAGAGAGAAAGCAATCAGAAAATGGGTTAAAAAGAGAAGTGAATAGTAGTACTTGCTTTTCTACAATTTCCGTATCAATGTGGCCCTCTAATTTGGCCAAAGGATCTTGCAAAGTGGATTTTGCTGCACAACCTTTGGGTGGAGGTTAGTAGTCTGAATGCATCTCCAGATGATCTCACCCAATAACTGTCTTTTCCCCTCCATCCCTTCCTTCTAGGATGAAGTGATCTGACTACCTCTGAGGGAATCAGAGCCAAGCAGACTAGAAACCCATGGAATAGTGATTTGCTTTCTTAACTTGCTGAAGACTAGAAGATATCATTTTGATATTCATATTGATTAATGGTGCAATTTGCACACCTTTTTCTTAGAGTGTCTGATTAATACTGGGCATGTAGTGAATGATGTAATAAATGCTCAATAAAAGCATGGTTGTTTTTTTTACACTCTTAATTTTCTCTCTCTTTGTACTGCTGCTCAGATGTAGTTCTAGCACAGCAGCCGAGCAGGCCTCTCCTTGTCTCACTGGCTTCTCACTGCAATTTACTATAAAAGACAAATCTCAACAGTAGAACTATAATACTTGTATCTTTGAAAGTAAACCCAAAGAAAGACTATTTGTTGTTGTCTTGACTTCTGGCAGTACATTGTCAGTTGTCTTTGTTTAATCTTTAAATAAGAAAAGGATTGCGACCTTTTCCCTCATTTTCCATACTGCTATGCCTTTAACCTATCATGCATAATTGAAGCAAGGCAGAAGAGCAGGGCAGCAAAAAAAATTAATGTAATCCTACATACACTTAACTAGGAATAAGTCCCATTGAATTCCATGGAGCATACTTCCACGTAAGCATAGAATTGTGCTGTGACACTGCCACAAACTTTCAGGCAAATTCAGTCATTCTGGTAGCACTTGTGGGCCAAAACAGCATCTTCAGATGCTTAAACAGAAGACATTTTTCATTCTTGGCATTAGCCTGCATGAGAAACGTAGGCATAGCTTTCCTTCCCAATTTGGTGATCGCTTACAAGGCGCAGTTTTCTAGGAGATCTGTGATTTCTCTCCTTCCAACGCCTCAAAAGAGAGGATTCATTCCTGATCAAAGAAATCTACACTAATCTGCGTGACCAACAGCTGAAATAGCTATTTAAAAACAGCCGCGCTAGATTTTTGCAAAGAAAAAGCTACTGGCTGCTGACACCTGGTGGCTACTTTCATACACTGAAACACGCAGCAATTTCTTTTCTCTGTTAAGGAGAGCAATTGACACTCTGGTATATCATTGATTTTTAACTCACTTATACAGTGGTACCTCAGGTTACATACACTTCAGGTTACATACACTTCAGGTTACAGACTCTGCTAACCCAGAAATAGTACCTCGGGCTAAGAACTTTGCTTCAGGATAAGAACAGAAATCGTGCTGTGGCAGCACGGCGGCAGCAGGAGACCCCATTAGCTAAAGTGGTGCTTCAGGTTAAGAACAGTTTCAGGTTAAGAATGGACCTCCGGAACGAATTAAGTACTTAACCCGAGGTACCACTGTAGTAAATCTGGCATCGCTGACTATTTGATATGGGGAAAGAAAGACTCACTAATAAGATTGCCAGCCTGTTAATAGTTTCAAGGATTGCCTTGTGGAATCGAACCAAGACGAGAACTGTCTCCCAAGAGCCAAGTGCCCTTTTAAAGTATGCCTCTTCTGACTGTGGATGTTCCATTTAGGTATTCTGACTGCTAATTGACCCATCTCCCAAGAATTTGTCTAATCCTTTTAAAAAGCCATCTCAGGCCCCATCCATATGCTGGAAGCAATAGCATAGAAGCCGCTGTGATATGGCTGCTCCCAATGGTGGTATGGGGAGTAATGCTCCCAGCCCTCTCATTCACGAGCCACATACTGATATAAACGGCTTCTTTTTGTCTGCCCATAAACAACCTGCCAGTCAACTTCACTGCAGGATCTCAATCTCCAATTATGAGGGGGATGAACTTATCTGCTTGTCACCATTTTCTGCTGCCTTCTTTCCAATGTCACCCTGATTCATTAAGCAAAGAGGAAGACTAGTCAGATACAACTTTGGCACTACTTAGCATGAATTGGTTTTCAAATCTTTGCATTTTGAAAAACCTAGAACATTATCTTCACTGTTCTTCATTCCTGCCTAGTCACACTAAGCTTCTACTATCCTCCTCGCATTATATGTGAAAAGACATTTGCAAAGGGAATAAAATTCTCTACAATGACTGTAATTGTAGAATGCCATGTTAGAACATATGCCACATTTTATTTCAGCCATTCAAGATTTAACCACCGAGATTGCACAGGATACAATGAGATACTCTGGTGATAACCATATCGTTAACATCTCAGAGATAAGCTCTGTTCCAAAGAACTCTGTTTACAGGTAGCAATTTTCCCAAATCGGTTGATATAATCTCTGAAGAGCAATAAATTTGTACCAAACATAAAGAAACCACATACTGACACATGTAAATAACGGTTATTGGCTTTCTCTCTTCGGCTCTTCAACAATCTTCCCAAATATTTCAGTAGGAAATGTCTGGATGCATTTGTCAGGATACAGAGCCTCTTCTTCGCAGCCCATTCAATGGGAGAGCAACCACTGTCCGCCTGGGTCTTCCATTCAGCCCGTCCTTGATGTTCTTTTGTTTTCATATGCTTTCCAGCTTCTTTAAAATGAATGGAGCTGAAGAAAGAAGCATACACCCATTTTTAAAGCCACCTAGGTTTGTAGTCATAGCCACATAGCAGTGAATTCCATAAGTTAACTGTGCATTGGCACAGAATATGGTCAACCACATGCTAGAACAAATGAAGCTTCTGAACTATACATTAGTTCTACACTTGAGCATCTCCCAATATTCACTGGTTGCTTCTGATACAGTTATTCCATAAAGCATTCCTATATACCTATTAGAGCATCTCTCCTCGAATACTCAATCTAGCCAATTACATTTTCATTCCTAGAAAATTTATCTATTATTCTAACATTCTCAATACATTTGCTCTTCCCTTCTCCAACTCAATCTATATATTAATTTCAAGCAACATACAGCTGCCCAACTCTCTTGTCTCACGGCTGTATCAATGGAATCTCCATTTTGCGTCCCAGCAAAAACAAGTGAGCTATCTGTACCTACCTACCATGAGTTGATGAAAAATAACTTCGTGTTTTGAATTTTCATATCTTAACACTACAATTACAACTCCAGTGGGGAATCTCTGGCCTACAAGGCTGCTCTCATCATGTCTTGCCCACTGTCTGGCTTCAGAGACCCAGAAAGAAAAAGGAGTCAAGCTAAGTGTGTGTGGCTCTAATGGGATTTTCATTCCTACTATTTCCAGCAATTCTTTGTAGAATTGAGCTTCGGGAGTTTTGAAGTTTGGAGACGCATCTGCCACATGAATTACATTCAGTCGCATTTTGGATCTACAAGGGGGGGGTGAAAATCTTGTCTCCAAGAAGTGGTGTGTCATAAGGGGAGCTCTCTTAAAACAGCAGCGGTTTGGTTTTCACACCATGCAACATTCCCTCTTGCATCCAGAAGGTTGCACAGACATTCCACTTGCACTGCTGAGGGGCTACTCGTTTGTATGCCAGCACTTTATGGGGAACAATTTATGGGGAACACGTTATTTATTACACACCTTTAGGCACCAGGCAAAAACGTTGCTCTTTAACCAGGCCTTTGGTTGATTTGATTTACATCCTATACCCCTTTTTTAAAAAAATGGGGGGGTACTGAGTTTTTATTTTTATTATGTATTTTGTGATTTTTTAACTTGATTTTATTATGTGATCCGCCTGAGACCCCTGGGTATAGGGTGATACAGAAATTCAATAAATAATAATAAAAACACATAATCGAATGTCCTTTCTATTTAGGTACATCTGACCACCCCCACCCCCCAAAAAAACCCCAATGTTTCAAGAACAAACATATTTTGCCAATTCACAGATATCAACACTATAGGTAAAGGTAAAGGTAAAAGTAAAGGTAAAGGGACCCCCGACCATTAGGTCCAGTCGTGACAGACTCTGGGGTTGCGGCGCTCATCTCGCTTTATTGGCCGAGGGAGTCGGCATACAGCTTCCGGGTCATGTGGCCAGCATGACTAAGCCGCTTCTGGCGAACCGGAGCAGCGCACGGAAACACCATTTACCTTCCCGCCAGATGGTACCTATTTATCTACTTGTACTTTGACGTGCTTTTGAACTGCTAGGTTGGCAGGAGCAGGGACCGAGCAACGGGGGCTCACCACGTCACGGGGATTCAAACCACCAACCTTCTGATCGGCAAGTCCTAGGCTCTGTGGTATAACCCACAGCGCCACCTCCATCCCAGCCATGGGCATAGCCAGGATTTATTGGGGGGCAGGCTTTATGTTGCGGGGGGGCAGAACTGTGTTATCTGTGATGCAATTGGTCAGTTAAGTATTTTTATTGATTTGCTTGATTTGGGGGGAGGGCAGCTGCCCCCTGGCTTCACCCATGACCTAGGCTTGACCCAATTGTGACTCCTTGTGTGTGTGGAAAGTGAGATGATAAAAAGGCCTCAGCTGGGCTGCTCTTTGGAACTCCCTCCCTAGACAAACTAGGACTGGCAGCTGCAGGCTTTGGCAGGCGCCAACCCATCACCTTGCCAACAAAGGTCCGTATAGTTAAAGCCATGGTTTTCCCAGTAATGATGTATGGAAGTGAGAGCTGGACCATAAAGAAGGCTGATCGCCAAAGAATTGGTGCTTTTGAATTATGGTGCTGGAGGAGACTCTTGAGAGTCCCATGGACTGCAAGAAGATCAAACCTATCCATTCTTAAGGAACTCAGCCCTGAGTGCTCACTGGAAGGACAGATCCTGAAGCTGAGGCTCCAACACTTTGGCCACCTCATGAGAAGAGAAGACTCCCTGGAAAAGACCCTGATGTTGGGAAAGATGGAGGGCACAAGGAGAAGGGGACGACAGAGGACGAGATGGCTGGACAGTGTTCTTGAAGCTACCAGCATGAGTTTGACCAAACTGCGGGAGGCAGTGGAAGACAGGAGTGCCTGGCGTGCTCTGGTCCAGGGGGTCACGAAGAGTCGGATACGACTAAACGACTCAACAACAACCCGTCTTGGGCCGGCCCTGCCTCCGCCTGCCCTCGCTTGTCCCCACGGCGGCGTCTCGCGACGCCCGAGCCGGCCGGACCCCAAGGCCTCTCCCCCCTCGCCCGCCGCCACTCACTGATGCGCAGCGCGACCACGTAGATGAGGAAGGTGCGCACGGAGGAGAGGACGTCCTCGCGCATCTTCCGCTTCAGCTCCTCCGGGTCCAGCTTGGGCCCCAGGCCCTCGATGCGGAACATGGCCTCAGGCGAGCGTCTCCCCTCCCGGCTCGGCTGGAGCGAAAGGCCGCTGGCTAGAACTCGCGCCGGAAAGGGCCTTCCTGTTCCCGCCCACCGCGGCTGCGCCGATTTCCTGTACGGGTGCCCGCTAGGGACAAACCTCCTTCCCCATGGTTGCCTTGTGCCGTCTACGGGTCGCCGCTAGGGACAAGCTTCGTTCCCCGTCACTGCACCGCTCTCCCGTATGGGTGCCCGCTAGGGACAAGCTTCCTTCCTTCCACCAGAACCAAGCAAAGAACGGGAAAAGTAGTAGCAGCGTCACGAGCCATATGAAGATGGAGCGATGCTACTTGAGTGGGGGTTTTTATTATTTTTTAGGTTTGCATGAAGAGCAGCCCTTAGCCATGTCTACTTAGAAGTATAAAAAGCCCTATTAAATCCGAGGAAACAACATTTTGAATTGCTGTGCCTCCACTGAATTGCATTAATCGTCTTTTGGGGGACCGAAATATTAATAGGGAATGGGGAAAACTTGTAATTTACCTTGAAAACCATTGAAACAGTTGACAACGTTGTTGTTGTTGTTGTTGTTTAGTCGTTTAGTCGTGTCCGACTCTTCGTGACCCCATGGACCAGAGCACGCCAGGCACTCCTGTCTTCCACTGCCTCCCGCAGATTGGTCAAACTCATGCTGGTAGCTTCGAGAACACTGTCCAACCATCTCGTCCTCTGTCGTCCCCTTCTCCTTGTGCCCTCCATCTTTCCCAGCATCAGGGTCTTTTCCAGGGAGTCTTCTCTTCTCATGAGGTGGCCAAAGTATTGGAGTCTCAGCTTCACGATCTGTCCTTCCAGTGAGCACTCAGGGCTGATTTCCTTAAGAATGGAGAGGTTTGATCTTCTTGCAGGCCATGGGACTCTCAAGAGTCTCCTCCAGCACCAGAATTCAAAAGCATCGATTCTTCAGCGATCAACCTTCTTTATGGTCCAGCTCTCACTTCCATACATCACTACTGGGAAAACCTTAGCTTTTACTATATGGACCTTTGTTGGCAAGGTGATGTCTCTGCTTTTTAAGATGCTGTCTAGGTTTGCCATCGCCTTTCTCCCAAGGAGCAGGCGTCTTTTAATTTCGTGACTGCTGTCACCATCTGCAGTGATCATGGAGCCCAAAAACGTTAGTAGGGTTGAAATAATACTTGTTGTTTAATGGTGAATTTTGGGTGTAATGGAGATTACATAAAAGATTATTATAAAAGATGCAGGAGGAAATGACTAACAATAGGACCCACAAAGGGGAGGAGGGAAATCCAGGGGAGAGTGTGTGTGTGTGTGTGTGTAAGAAAGGGGAAACAAACTCCAAGCATTGGAGACGGGCAGTCAAGTTGTGCATCCATAACAGTGACCAGAGGGGGAATAACCACAGAGAAGAGACACTGGTTCATCTGTAGCAGTGCAACCCCAGCTGCGACAAAACATCTTTCTCCTGTATCTGATTCTACAGCCACAGCGGGTGCTTTAGATGTCCGGCAGTTTAACTTCACCCAAAAAAGTGCACTCTTCCACTGTCTCCCGAGACAAATGGGTGTCAACCACGGATTATTGTGAGCCGCTTTCAGCTGAACATTTGTAGTTGGAAAAGCAGAATGCAAATGTTTTAATCACATAAGATCAAAGAGCGCTTGCTCTATGTTATGTTACGTTAACATACAGAATAAGTGAACAAGAAAAACATACATTTTAAAGAAGATTGGAAAACGTTTATTGAATATATCGGAAATAATTGTGTACAGCTGAAAACGCTGGCAGCGTTAAGATAAATTCAACAGTAGATAAGTTTTGATGGATGTAATAATGGAATACTGAATGGTATATAGTTTTTGTCAAATATGCAGGGATTTCTGATGTGTAAAATGAACCAGGGAAAGAAGAAGGGAAGTCATTAATATCTTAAGGATGTAAAATGAGTATTTTAAATTGCAAAACAGAAGATTTAATAAAAATTGTGTGTGTGTGCTTGCTCTTGTTTTTTGTTTTTTAAAAGACTTTTGCCCTGCTCTTCTGGCTTCCAGAGCACCTTTCAAATATCAGTGGTGGTGGTGAAGAAGAATGAAGAACAGTTGTTTGCAAAGAAGAAGAAGAATGAAGCTTCATTGAGTATTTCCCATGGGCGTCACACTAATTTTTTCCCATCTCTTAGCTGCATGGACTTTTAATTAATGGAGGACACCCATTTCCTAGTTCCTCAAACCTCTTTTCCCCTCCCTGGACATGAAGTGAAAGCTTCTTACTGGGTGGGGTGGGGCAAAACAAATGAAGAAACCCATAAATTGTGACTGGGTGAAAGTGTGTTCACTCTGCAAACACACACGGTGGAAACTGCAGAGTCTTGCAGCCAGGGCATTCACAGACGTGTGTTTATTACAGCATAAACATTCAAAGAGGGTTTTGTCAGATGCATCCTGCTTTGTTGTGGGAATTGTTTTATTTTTGGGACACTTCTCTGTGCTGTTGTCTTTCAGAGGGGAGGCAACAGGGGCAATTTGTCCAGGCACTTGCACTTGTCAGGCAGGGTGGTGGGCACATCAACACTCCCACCAGAGGAGAAGATGAAGGGGAAAGGAGGCTCAGATGAATCCAATACCTTTGTTTTCACTTCAGGCCTATTGTGTGCCTGCCTCCAAGGAGCAGAGATTGGTGACACAAGGACTTCCGGGGGGCGGCGCGAACGGCAATGGCGGTCTTCTCCCGACGGGAGAGGAGGCTCCGCTGAAATCGGGTCGTCCGCTACGGCGAAGCGGAGACCCAACGAGGAAAACCCCAGGCAGCAAGAGCCTGGGGTCCTGAGGCTCGGCGGGCGCCACGAGCAGCCCTCCAACTGCAGAAGGAGCCTCGTAAGGGGCTCCGGAGCGTGGAGGGGGGTTGCGGTGCTGAGAGCCGTTTCACAGTCAGCGGAGTGAAGCCGCGCTGCTGCTGCCGGTGAGCGCTGATCCCTTTTCCTGTCAAAATTCGGACTTGGAAGAAAAACAACTTATTCGTGAGTAAAGACTGAATCACTTGGAATTACAAATTTTAAATGAGAAGGTTTAATTCGGCTTGAACTTGGCTGAAAGCGGAGAGACGTGGAAACAGGAAGTCCGTCTTCCGCAGCCATTGAACTTGAAAAAGCAACTAAGGCGGAGGAGTGGAGGCTGAAAGAAAGAGATTTTAAATTCTACACAGCCAAGCATCTATGGAACTTACAATTTAAAGTAAAACCAGTAAGCTAAAGATTTGGACTTTTTATTTGCACTTGACTTTCCCCTTTTATTGGATTACAAATTGGAAGGTGAAACCCAGAGTCAGGACTGCTTGAGCACTGTAAGAGTGAGCTGTCAGTGTTGAGTTGGATACTGTATATTAGAATTTGCAACAATCTGAGGGTATTGAGACCTTTTAAATTTGAAACATTCTTTCTGGAGACAAATAAGCACTGTCTGCAACAAAGTGATTACTTTTAAACTCTGCTTAATACTTATATTGGAAGGTTCTGGGACATTAAATCAGACTCTGAAAGACATCTTAAGCTCCCTCTAGAGGATTGGATTAAAACAGTGACTTTACAAATACATTTACTTTCGATTCCCTTGTTGTTTGCTTGCTCTGGGCCTTTCTATTCCTGTGGGAAAAACTCAGTGTGACCTTGACTGATAGATAACATTGGAATGAGTGGTACAAGAAGAAGAGGAAGAGTCAGACAAACAACCTTAACAACTCTAACCTCAGCCTCGCAGACACGTAGATCATCTGTGCCTACTTTGCCCTCAGAAGTACAACTTGAAGAAGCTGCTTTGCCACAGGCAAAAGAGGGAGAGGGTGAAGCAGAGCAGTTACAATTGGAAGATATGGCCTCAGGAGCATCTGTTTCTGTTCTAGAAAAATCTTTGAAAAATTGGAAGCTTTGGACAAGAAAGTAGATGCGCAATCAGCAAAGATTGATAAAAATACAGATTGTCTAAACAAATTAACTACACAGGTGGGACAGAATACACAAGCAATTGGACAGTTAACGGAGGCCTCAGTAGAAAATCGAAAATTGGCTGAGGATACCAGACAAAAATTGGAAAATTTAGAGCAAGAGGTAAGACCACTCACTAAACAAGTTGGGGAACATCAGACTTATCTTTCTATGATAGAACTGCGAAATCGTGAGAATAATTTGAGGATTAGATCATTACAAGAGGCAGAAGAAGGAAATCTAACTGAGTTTTTGACCAAAGAACTTTCCAAGTTCTGGAATTTGGAAGAAAAGGACTTTAAAATTGTGTCAGCTTTCAGACTTGGAAGATTTATAAAGAAGGAGAGGCCCAGGGATTGTTTGATTACATTGAGATCGAAGGAGGAAAGGGATAAGATTTTGGGTCTACATTACGAAAAGTCACTGGAGGTTTTGGATAGAAGAATTGAGATATATAAAGATATTCCAAGACAACTGTTGGATCTCAGAGCCGCCTACTCTGAACTTGCTAAATTATTAAGGAGCAACGCAATTCCATTCAGGTGGGAATTTCCCCAAGGATTATCTTTTACCTTTAGAGCGAGAAAGGTCAAAATTAGAACATTGGAAGAGAGAGATAAATTTCTGGCTACATACGGAGAGGACCTACAAAAAGGAATTGAACTACCTTCTGGGCCTGGGGCAAAGCCAGCATTAATACCTGCACCTGGGGAACTTGAAGATTCAGAGAAGACACCACCCCGGGAGAAATAACCAGACAGATCCAGGATGTCTCTGCAACTGTTGAGCTGGAATATTAATGGTTGTAACATTCCGGAGAAAAGGAAGAAAATATTTCATATATTAAAAAAGAACAATTGGACATTATCTGTTTACAAGAAACACATGTGACGAGGCTCCACAGAAAAGTGCTAATAAATAAAAGATTGGGCCAGGAATTTATTTCGTCGGACAAAGTGAAGAAGAGAGGAGTGGTGATATATGCAAAAGAGAGCCTGTCACCTAAATTTCTATTTAAAGATGAACATGGAAGGATTTTGGCTATTGAGATACAATATCAAGGAGAGAAACTGCTGATATTAGGAATCTATGCACCCAATGAAGGGAAATCGGAATTTTACAAGAAGTTGCAGGGGACAATGCTGGATCATCTGGATTACAACAACATCATAATGATGGGAGACATGAACGGGTCGTATCAACTAACATGGACAAGTCGCAAAGTCAAAATGTCACAAAAGATGGCAGACTACCTAAAACCTTTTTGAAATGACTGACAATATGGACTTGATTGACATTTGGAGAACAAAGAACCCACTAGGTAGAGAAGGAACATTCTTTTCTGAAGCCCAACTGACCTGGACAAGAATCGACCAAATATGGATTTCTAGGGGCCTGGCACCTAGGGTTAGAAAAGTGGAAATCTGCCCAAAGACCTGCTCTGACCACAACGCAGTAAAGATGGATATGACACTACTACCAACTGGATCCTTTAGATGGAAGATGAATGACAATTTGTTTAGAGATCAGGAAATTACCAAGAAGGCCCAAAAAGTTTTGAAAGACTATTTCGAGATAAACATGAATAATTCGGTGGAAAAAGAATCGTCTGGGACGCAAGCAAAGCTGTCATGAGGGGATTCTTGATACAACAGAATGTAGTAAGGAAAAAAACACAAAATGAGAAAAAAGACAAGATCTTGGATAAAATAAAAGAATTAGAGAAGAAATTAAGAGTGAATCCAAAGTCACAGCCAACTCTGAGAGAAATTAAACTGTATCAAACACAATATTCTAAATTGATAAATCAGGAAATTGAATGGAAGATTAAATTAATGAAACACAACGTTTGAGTCGGCGAATAAATGTGGAAAACTGCTATCTTGGCAGTTGAAGAGAAGACAAAGATTAAATACGGTTACAAATTTAGAGGTCGATGGAAGAAACATTCAGAATCCAGTGGACATTAGAAAGTGTTTCCAGAGATATTTTAAAAACTATATACCCAAGGGCCGCAAGACGAAGTCGAGATTAAACAATTTTTGGCAAAAATGGATTATCTAAACTGTCACAAGAAAATAGGACAACCCTGAACTCTAAAATAACACGACAGGAGATTGAACAAGCTATTCAGAACATGCAACTTGGCAAATCTCCAGGGCCAGACGGGCTGACCTCCAAGTATTATAAGACACTAAAAGACTATTTGATACAACCCTTGATGGAGGTTAGCAATGAAATTATGGAGGGGAAGAGGGCACCGGATTCGTGGAAGGAAGCCTTTATCACATTGATACCAAAGTCAGAAGCTGAAAAGACACAACTGAAGAACTACCGTCCCATCTCCCTTTTAAATGTGGATTACAAAATATTTGCAGATATTTTGGCAAGTAGATTTAAAAAGTTTTAAATGAAGTAATTCATAAGGACCAGGCCGGTTTTCTCCCAGGTAGACATCTGTTTGCTAACACAAGGAACATTATTGACATCTTGGAACTTCTCCAAACTGACATAAATACAAAAGCAGTTTTAATTTTTATAGATGCGGAGAAGGCCTTTGATAATATTTCTTGGAAATTTATGATGGGAAACTTAAAAGAGATGGGAGTGGGACGGGGTTTTGAGAATGGGATTGAGGCGATATATTCAGAACAGAAAGCTAAACTGATAGTTAATAATGTGGTTACAGAAGAGTTCAAAATTGAAAAAGGGACACGACAAGGCTGCCCTATCTCCCCTTTGTTATTTATTTCGGTTCTGGAAGTGCTATTGAACATGATTAGAGGGGACCAGTTGGTGGAAGGAATTCAGGTTGGTCAGAAACAATATAAACTAAAAGCTTTTGCAGATGACCTGGTTTTGACCTTGCAGAAGCCAGAGCCTAGTACGAAAAGAGTATTACAATTGATTAATGACTTTGGTCGGGTGGCGGGATTTAAATTAAATAAACAGAAAACCAAGGTTTTGGGAAAAAATTTGACTGAGACAGAGTCAGAACGGTTTCAGAATGAGACGGAACTTAATGTGGTTAAAAAGTAAAATACCTAGGGGTAAACATAACAGCAAAAATCTAAGTCTATTTAAGGATAACTATGAAAAATGTTGGACAGAAATTAAGAGAGACTTAGACAGTTGGTCAAAATTGAAACTTTCTTTGTTAGGCCGAATTGCTGCGATTAAGATGAATGTATTGCCAAGAATGTTGTTTTTATTTCAAACACTTCAGGTTTTGGACAAAATGGAGTGCTTTCAGAAGTGGCAGAGAGACATTTCGAAGTTTGTCTGGCAGGGCACAACGCCCCGAAGTAAGGTTCAGAGACTAGCTGATGCAAAACAAAGAGGGGCTTTGCCCTGCCGGACTTAAAGTTGTATTACGAAGCCGCAGCGTTCTGCTGGCTAAAAGATTGGCTACTTCTTGAAGACACTGATGTGTTAGATTTGGAAGGGTTTAACAATGTTTTTGGATGGCATGCATATTTATGGTATGACAAAGTTAAAGCAAATAAGGCCTTTAAGAACCATATTGTTAGAAAATCACTGTTTAATGTCTGGACAAAATATAAAGACTTGCTGGAAAATAAAACACCAAGGTGGCTTTCACCTTTGGAAGCTAAGGCCCGAAAAAGACCCAATATGGAGGCCAAATGGCCAAAATATTGGGAAATACTAGAAAAGATGGAGACAATTGGAAATTGCAGAGTTTGGAGAAAATGAAAGACAAAGTGCGAGATTGGTTACATTATGCTCAGATTAAAGAAGTTTTTAAAAATGATAAGAAACTAGGGTTCCAGGTGGAGAAATCGAAATTAGAAACAGAATTGTTAGAACCAAAGACTAAGATACTTTCAAGGATGTATAACTTGCTGTTGGAATGGAATACACAAGATGAAATGGTTAAATCGGCTATGATAAGGTGGGCACAGGATATTGGGTATAATATTATGTTTGAGGACTGGGAAAGGCTGTGGAGTAATGGACTGAAATTTACTGCATGTAATGCTTTGAAAGAAAATGTAATGAAAATGATTTATAGATGGTATATGACCCCAGTCAAACTCGCAAAAATTTACCACCTGTCTGATAACAAGTGCTGGAAATGTAAAGAGTGTGAAGGAACGTTCTTTCACCTCTGGTGGACCTGCCCTAAAGTGAAGGCGTTCTGGGAAATGATTTATAATGAACTGAAAAAGGTATTTAAATATACTTTCACTAAGAAACCAGAGGCTTTCCTTTTGGGTATTGTCAGCCAAGGGGTGGCAAAGAAGGACCAAACATTTTTATGTATGCAACAACAGCAGCAAGGATACTACTCGCAAAACATTGGAAAACTCAAGATCTACCCACACTGGAAGAATGGCAGATGCAACTGATAGACTATATGCAACTGGCTGAAATGACTGGCAGAATCCGTGACCTGGGAGAAGAGAGAATCGAGGAGGATTGGAAGAAATTTAAGAACTACCTGCAAAAACATTGTGATTTGATTGAATGCTGAATAAGATGCTTGTCTAAATAACTGAGCACCACTTAACTTAGAAGTTTTTAAGAAAATAAGAAAAATTGTGAAAGTTTAACTCTTTATGAGAACTATAAGATCATGAAATATCGAAGAGATATAAGAATTTAAATAAGATGATAAATTGCTGACAAAATGTTATAATGATGAAGGTGGGAGCGGGAGATGTGAGGAAGTCCAAAGAAAATGTGAAATTATGTTAAGACGAATGTTATATTGTTTATTACATTTATTCCTATTGTAAAATCCAATAAATT